CCCTCTTCTGACCTCCATGGACACCTGCACACATGGTGCACATAAACTCACACAGGCATATGAACACATACACACACAAAAAAAAAAAAAAAACTAAAAACAAGCCAGGTATGATGGTACATGCCTTTAATCCCAGCACTCAGGAGATAGAGACAGGTGGATCTCTGTGAATTCAAGGACAGCCTGGTCTACAGAGTAAGTTCCAGGACAGCCAGGGCTGTTATACAGAGAAACCCTATCTTGAAACAAACAAAAAAAAAAAAAAAAAGAAGAAGAAAATGTAGTACAAGGTAAGTATTTAGGGACTCCAATGAAGAATATAAATTAGCTCTTTAGCTTTTCTCTAAAATGGAAATATTTTAAATAAACAAGTACAGCCAGATATAGTGATGCACACCTACAATCACAGCACTCAGGAAGCTAAAGTAAGAGTGCTGCAAGTTCAAAGCCAGCCCAATCTACAGTATCTAGAGCTGCACACAGTGCTTTCTGGATAAAACAAAGCAAGCCCCGTAAGTAACTAACATATGGTAAGTACATAAGTAAGAGCAGAGAAGGCTGAGATCTACCTGTGAGAAAGAGAGTAACAGGATATCATCAATCTTACAGTATCTACTCAAAACATGTTCCGTTTATTCTAAAGTTACCTGATTACAATCCAACATGCTTCTTGCCACAGATCTGGAGTGATTTCATCATCATCTTCATCATATTGCATATCTGCAAAAACAAAACGCTCTGCTCATTGGCAATAAGATACCACTAGCTCACACCTTACCCCCAGGAAGTAAACTAGCACTCTGCGAAACAGAAGGCAGTCATTTCATCCCACTTCCCTAGAGTTTCAGACAATTAATGCATATTCCTCTGTCACATTAATATTCTTCCTATACAGTTTTTTAACAAAGGTTCAGCTTTATTGTAAGTTTGTAATTTCTCTGTCTGCTCCAGAAAATCCACATACTAAGAGCTAAGCAAGAGCTATATATATCACAGTCCTCTGACTGATAAGGCCCTCAGAGACTGGAGGCAAGGATAAAAAGACAGGAAAGAATTTCACTAACTGAGCAACACCCTGAGGTGGTCTATTACAGCAACATTTTATATATGTACATATGCAAAGTTCACATATGTACAATCTACATATATGTATATGTACACGCTTTCTTCTTTGAAGCAGGTTCTCATTATAAAGCCTAGCTAGTCTGGAACTCACTACGTAGAAGTGACTGGTCTTAAACTTACAGAGATTTTCCTGCCTCTGCTCCCAAGTCCTGGGGTTACAAACATGTGCCAACATGTCCTGCCTATATGGACTATAATTCCCAAAGATTGCCATGACTATATTTCTCATCTCATGTTCTTCTATGTGATCAAGACACTCCTACTATCAAGGTAGAGAGTCAATGACGCATGCTGGTGCACAGCTGTAGATTCAGGGTCTCACACATGCTAGGCAAGTACTCTACCACTAATCTATATCCCAGGCCTCCATAAACGTTTCTTTAAAGTTTTTTTTTTTTTAATTATGTGTGTGTGCATGCATGCAATGTGTGAAGATGTGAGGCCAAAAGTGAGCATTAGATACCCTTGAGCTGTAGTTAGAAAGAACTGTGAATTGCCTAATATGTGTGCAGAGAATCGAACCTGAGTCCTCTAGACTCAAGCAGCAAGCACTCTTAACTAGCTGCTAAACCATCTCTCCAACCACCATGAAAATTTTTTTAGGTAACGAAATCTGCTTTATCCCTCTCCCTATGTATAAGAATTAGTAATTACTATTGTACAGCAACATTAATTTTAAAAATGTATCCTTAAAAATTTAGCACCATCTTCAATGATAAAATGTTTGTTGTACTTTTTATTTTTTTTATTCTGAATTTATTTATTATAGAGAGCTTAAGAGCTTTCTACTCAGAAACCTGATATACATTCAAAGTAATTTTAATACATGCTTCTGGAATGTTCTAGGATGACATGGAAAAGACAATGGTATGTAAAACAGCAGTGGTTTCTAGCTTTGGACGTATTTAATATCACTGTCATGTAGAAGTAAATTCAAAGAAGAAAAAGGGGGAATGATAATGTTGGCCCTACATATTGTGTTGAGCATATTACACTCTTTATATACTTTTAAAAGGAAGGTGATACTCAAAAAAACGTTCACACTGAGCTAGAGATGTAGCCCAGTGCTAGTGTTGAACAGCATGGACGAGGCCCTGCAGTCAATCCCAGATACCAAGAGAGAAAATTTCATACTACAATGGAAGGAATCATCAGCAAATTAGTAAGAAATAAGGAAAGTATACGCAGAGAAAGAAGACCAAAGTCAAGATATTAAGAGACAGCTGGGCATTGGTAGTGCACACCTTTAATACTCAAGAGGCAAAGGCAGGTGGATCTCTTTGAGTTAGGCCAGCCTGATCTACAAAGTGAGTTCCAGAACAGCCAGGGCTGTTACAGAGAAGCCCTGTCTCATAAATAAATAAATAAATAAATAAATAAATAAATAAAATGTAAGGTGTAAGGGACATCTCTGTTTAAGAGTCCTGTAAAGCTGGGTGTGGTGGCATATGCCTTTAGTCTCACCTCTTGGGAGACAGAGGCAGCAGATGTCTAGGAGCTGGATACCAGTCCAGCCTTCATAGCAAGCTACAAGCCAACTAAGACTGCACAGTAAGAAGCTGTCTTAAGAAAGGGTCATGTAAAAGAAAATAGGAAAATGAATTCAAGAAGAGCATTCATTCATCAAACATTTACTGACTATGAGCATTTGCTATGGCCCAAGCACTAGAAGTCTTCATCCTTCACAAGATGGCTGCACTATCACAGAGATTATCATCTATTGGGGAAATACAGAACAAGTTGAAATCAACAAAGACAGAGTAATATGGACATTCCTAACCAGGACCCAAGAAGATAAAGTCTTCCCAAAAACTGAACACAGGAGTAAACCAGGCAAAAATGAGTCAGCAAGTCTGGTAGGAGTGAAAAAAGATGGCTCCTGTCCAAAAGGAATCATGATGAAGATAACATAGTATAATCTAATTAAGAAAGGAAAAGGCATTGCAGGGCACTGGAGAGATAGTCAGATGACAAAGTGCTTTGCTGTGCAAGCTTGAAGACTGAGGATATAAAAAGCCAGGCACACACCTGTAATCAGAGCACAAAGAAGGCTGAGACAGAAGTACACATATAGACAAGCAGGTGCACACACATTCATTCACATTCTCAATCAGTATCAGATATATTTCCTTTGTGTGTGTATATAAAAGAAAGTGGATATAAACAAAGTGAGTGAGCAAATAGTAGAGAGTTTAGGGATCCTAAGAGATAGTTCAGTTATCTAATAGGAGTTAGGTATGCAGAACAACTACATTGGAAATATAGCTGGGCATGTCAGCTCATGCCTATAACCCCAGCACAGGGGAGACTAACGTAAGAGAACGGCCAGTAGTTCAATGCCAGCCTATGTATGCTACATAGTCAAAACCATATCTAAATAAACAAAAATTTGGAAAATTGGTTGGGTGGTGGTGGTGCACTCCTTTATCCCAGCACTATGGAGGCAGAGGCAGGCCGATCTCTTTGAGTTCAAAGCCAGCCTGGTCTACAGAGCTAGTTTCAGGACAGACAGAAACCCTGTCTTGAAAAACCAAAAGTAACTTAAAAAATAAATAACGAAAATGTATTCAAGTGATCCGGTAAATGCAAACATGGAGAATGGATTTGACTACCCAGGGAGAACGTGACAACAATAAGTAATAAGAAAAAGTACTAATCAAGTGGAAGTGATTAATGTAGCAGAATAGTAGTTTGCAGGAGGAAGCCATGAACACTTTTGAATAGCACAGAAGTAGATGAGGGTTGGGTGGGTGATTGATGTTTTGTCTGGTTGGTTGGTTTTTGATCTCCAATTTAAAGATAATCCTCCTCCACATTTGGCCTTCTGTGAATTACAACAACTGACCTAAATAAGACCTCAAGCATCTATCTCTATCAAGAAACAGACCATTCAGAAAAAGCTGTTTTAACATAGGAGCATCAGCAAAAATCAGATTAAAATGGGTCACAGAGGCCCTGAGATGGAAACTGGAGACATTCTTAGGTCTGGTGAAATGGCTCAGTAGGTAAGATTGTCACACAGATGAGGACCTGAGTTCAAACCCCAGGATCGAAACCCAACGCCGAAACACCCAAATGTTAATAAGCACTTGCACGCTGTCGGCTCTGGAAGCTGACAGCAGGTTTAACAGGAGACCATGCAGGGGAGCAATCAATCGAGCTGACCCGGGAACGTGATCCCTGGGATTCCCGAGCCTACACAGCTAGCAAGCCCAGCGCGTGAGAACTGGGCTGCGGGGCGCGCGCCACGGCCGGGATGGGGTGGCTGGCTCAGGTCCTCCATCCCAGCAGGTTCCCCCGCCGAGCCTCATAAGAGGCGTGCCTTACGTGGTCACCTACCCTCGTCGGCGTCATACATCTTGGCCAAAGGTTTCTGGACCCCTTAACTCGAATTCACAAAGCTAGAGGCGAAATCCGCAGCGGCAAACTCTTCAGCGTAAGAACAAGCAACTTCCGTCTCCGGCGTTCCCAGAATCCTCCGCATCCAAGTCGCGGAGTGGGAGGTTTGCGCCTGCGCGAACGGCCCTGTGCAAGTGCAAATTGTGGGTCCGCCGGCTACAGCTGAGGACAGCTCCTTAGGCCGGAAGTTGGACCCAGCTAATGAAAGTTTCTCCTCGCGTGCTTTTTTCAGTGTTGTTGCACAAGTGACATCTGATTGACGTAAAGGAGGCTTATGGAAGAAAAGCTCTGGGTGTGCCAACGACCCTCTCCTGCCCACCCATCTCTAGTCCGCGCCTTTGCACAGCCGGGTGAATTCTCGAGCCTCCGAGCTTTTCATCGCGAGAAGTCCAGCAGTAGTCTCGCCGTTGGACAGTTCCCTCCTCGCCTCTCGTCCCTGATTGCCTAGCTTCTCGGGCACGCGCGCGAGTGCGCGTCCGAGGCTCCGCCCACCTCGCGGCCGTCCGCATGCTGCCCGCGCGCCTGGCTTGCAGGCTGCTGTGCCGGGTCCTGCGGGGCCCGGCGCCAGCCACAGCGTGCCATGGCCCTGCGCGGTGGCTCCTGGCAGGGAAGTGTGAAGCCGCTTTCTCCCAGAGCCCATCATCCCTGGGCCGCCGACTGCCTCCTGGCTCCACGGCGACCGAGGACCACGAAGAAGGCCCCGACATGGAAGAGCGCTTCCTGTTCCCGGAGTACGTCCAGGAGCAGGACCCCGAGGAACAGCTGAGAGAGTTGCGGGAGCTGCAGCAGCGGCAGCAAGCTGAGGAGCGACAGAGGTTGCTGCGACGGGAGGAGCGGCTTCAATGGAAGTTGCGGGCTGGCCTCCGGAGTCTGCAGGTCCCCGAGCTTCCAGACGCCACGGTGCCACCCAGCGGCATCTACTGCTCGGGCTGTGGGGCTGAACTGCACTGCCAGCATCCCAGCCTGCCCGGCTACCTGACGGAGGAGAAGTTTCGCGGGGTTGCACGGGCGGACGGCGGACGGCCGCGGACCGTGTGCCAACGCTGCTGGCTGCTGGTGCATCACCGACGTGCCCTGCGCCTGCGGGTGAGTCGCGATCAGTACCTGGAGCTAGTGAGCGCCGCGCTGCGACAGCCGGGGCCGGCTCTGGTGCTCTATATGGTGGACTTGCTCGATCTGCCCGACACCCTGCTGCCCGACCTGCCCAAACTGGTGGGCCCCAAGCACGTCTTCGTGCTGGGGAACAAAGTGGACCTGCTGCCCCAGGATGCGCCCGGCTACCTGCAGCGGCTGCGGAAGCGGCTGTGGGACGACTGCATCCGCGCCGGGCTCGTGGTGGCCCCAGGCCACCGAGGACCGCAGTGCCCTGTCGGGGATGAGCCTCAGAGCGAGAGAAAGAATCCGAATCCGTCGAGCACCGTGATCAAGGACGTGCGGTTGATCAGTGCCAAGACAGGCTATGGAGTAGAAGAATTGATCTCTGCACTTCAGCGCTCTTGGCGCTACCGCGGCGACGTCTACCTGGTGGGCACCACGAACGCCGGCAAGTCCACTCTCTTTAATACACTCCTGGAGTCTGATTACTGCACCGCCAAGGGCTCCGAAGCCATCGACAGGGCCACCATCTCCCCCTGGCCAGGTGAGGCCCCGCTGTTGAGAAATCAGGCTTGACCCAGGCACCTAGTACTCCATCTCAGGAGGATACCGAAGCCATTCTTGGCTATATACCTGGAGGCTATTGTGAGGTAGATCCATAGCTGCCCCCCCAAAAAAAGTATCTGTGTACTTCTCACTCTAAGTCCCTACTTTCTTCACCCCTTGAGTTTATTTATTCTTAGACTGTTACACTAGACATATGAAAGAGTTGATGTGGTATGGTGTGGAAATTTCTCGAGAAGAAATCTTGAGTTAAACTAATAGCTTGGCGTGGTGTTTCTGTCTGACTTTCACAACACTGGGGAAGCAGAGCCTGAGGATGCATTTCAAGAGCTTCTCTTGAGGAAGAGCTAGGGGGAAACATGTACATGGGGAGTTACAGTCTTAGGAATTAGCTTGACAGAAATGTGTCCCCTTGAACCAGAGTTTAACTCCGTTTAACTGCCCTTTGGCTGTACCACCCTAGATGTACTGGAGGATAGATAGTGAAAATCGGGGGTAAAACAGACTTGCAAAATTTGTGCCCAAATTCTGAGTTAGCCTGTGAACCAGTCTCTAGACCTATTTCTTCTTTTGTAAAGTGGAAATAATCATATATAGTGGTTGTCATGAAGGTTAAATGAAATTAATCAGAAACATTTTCTTCTTTCACTCTTTTTTGAAACGCTTACTCTTGGTATTTCAGGTACTACATTAAACCTCCTGAAGTTTCCTATTTGCAACCCGACTCCTTATAGACTGTTCAGAAGACAAAAAAGGCTTAAAGAGGAGGCAACCAAAACAGAAGAAGATCTTAGTGAGGAAGAACAAAGACAGCTCAATCAACTAAAAAAGCATGCTTACATGATAGGTATGCCTCTTCCAACTTACCAGTTCCGTGATTAAATTGTTTAGAACCGTGTAGTACAGCCATTGGAGCTAGCCATTTTTGCAGGAAGAGACTTCCTTCCCTGTTCTGGAATATAAACTTTTTATAGGAAAGGTTACTATTGCTTGGAAACCCAAACTACAGAGGCTTAAGGTTGTCCATCTCCTTAATCTCTCTCTTCGGGGTTCATTAATGGAAAAGAAGGGATTTCTAACACCACTTGCCTGAAGAAGGTACATAACCTGAAACATAACTGACCTTGTAAGAGAATGATTCATATTATCTTCAGAAAAGAATACAAAAGTATCATCATAGCCACAGTTTCATATTTGTCCATGAAGTTTTAGTGACCTATTTAAAGCAATCATAAAAGGTATCTTCAGGGCCTTGCCTAGTGGTGTACACCTTTAGTCCCAGCACTTGGGAGGCAGAGACAAGTGGATCTCTGAGTTCACGGACATTATGGTCTACTTGGAGAGTTCAGAACAGCCAGGGCTACATAATGAGACCCAGCCTCTGAGGTAAGGAGGTCTTCAGGAGTATCAGATACACACCTGTAATTCCAACACTTGGGAGATTTGAAAAACCTCAGTTCCATGGTGATTTTGAGGCAAGACTGGACTACATGAGATCTTTCTAAGCTATATACATATATGGATATAGATAGATAGATACACATGACTACATATGTGTGAGAGAGATCTGTCGCCTATGACTACAGAAGCTAAGGATCTTGAAGTATGTACAGAGAACCCATCTCAAAAATATTTCATATACCCCACCCCAGAATCAAAGCATTGGAGGAATGTCTGAGACCCTCGGTTTAATTTGTTCTAGGAAGAGTTGGAAGAACATTCTTGCATTCCACAGAACAGACGGAAAAAGTTCCCTTTGAGTTTGATGCTGACTCACTGGCCTTTGACATGGGAAAGGAACCTAAACCTGTTGTGGCCATGCACCAGTGTACCAAACAAGTAGAACTGACCCCAGAGGATGTGAAAGATGCCCACTGGTTTTATGATACCCCTGGGATTACAAAAGAAAACTGTGTATGTATTTGGTTTCTTTTAGAAATACTTACTTTCAGTTGTAGATGTACTGTCTTAACTGGCTGAAAACAAGAAAGGGGGTGGGCTTCCATTTTAAAACTTGATTCTGGTTTCTTTATAAAAGTAGTTCAAGGATGAATCTATATGCAGTCAAATTCTGTATTCATTTAGTTGACGTCTCTGTAGGCAAACGACAGACATACTATAGGTTCCTATACTTTAAGGTTAGAAATGATAAATATTACAACCCAGCTTCCTAGTCTATGCTTGAATTCCCTTGAAAATAAGTCATTCATCATGTCATATCGTTTGAGCTGAAGTGAGTTGTGACAGTTTATCAGAGTAGTGACACCTGCACTTCCAGGGTACCCAGCTATTTTTTGCCTGCTTTTTGCATTGCACTGAAAGTCTCCCAGTAACTTCTATCCATTATTCTTCAAAGCTCTTTGGAACAATCATGGTATGTATTTCCTTTGACACATCTTGAAATACTTTAAGTCCTAAGTGGTCAAGTGACATGTTTTCAGAATAGGGTTAATCCTGCCATTATCATCCATCCTTTTACTCAAATTACAGTGTCTCACAGGTAACTTAGCTGATGTCTAATTATGTTTATCCTATATCTAGCTAAACATGGTGTTGCACACACTTTGCTTAATATGATTTATTCCTGTTGCACCCATTTTCCTACAAAAAAAAACTTATAGCTATTCAAACTTTGTATGTATATAAATACATTTTCTTTCTACATTCCTCTGTGATAGGCGCCTAGGTTGGTTCCATAGCTTAGCTATTTATGAATTTTTTTTTTTTAATGAATTTTATCTTCCTTAATTCTTACCAGAATCTGGTAATTTCTATCTTTCCTTTTCTGTTTTGCTTCTGTCTCTTTAATAACTTTCTGTCTCCCTGTAGTTGGAGGGCTGTCTTGGTTAATAGTGCCTGCCGTTGGGCTGTAGACATTGTTGCTCTTCCAAAGGAGCCAAGTTCAATTCCCAGTTCTTACAACCTCCAATAACTCCAGTTCCAGGGGATCTAATGCCCTCTTCTGGCCTCTGCAGGCATACACAATCTTTGGGGAAAAAAAACCTCTGGTCCTAACAAGCCAAGATACACAAAACTGATGTTCTGATGAATGTTCAGGAGATCATGCTAAGGACTTGTTCCTAAAGTGGAGTGACCCATTTTATTGTTTGGTTTGGAGAAGAGGGGTGTTTTTTGTTTTATGAGACGGGGCTCTTGGAAACACTACATAGTCTGAGTTAGCCTATGCCAGAGGCTGAGATTTACAGGTATGAACCATTTTGCATTTGATGCTTGCATGGTAAATACTTAGGACCTGAGATTACTGTGTCCATTATTTAAAGCTGGAAGCTACTACTCCATGGATCCTTAAGCACACATTTCCATTCTTGGAGACCCAACAGTATTTTGGGGTGCACACCCACTTTGACATTTGACAATAGTGCTGTCATAGGAAAGTCTTGTATCCCTATCTTGCTGTTTAATACACAGCTGTGAAATTAGTAGAATAATAGTTAATTTAGAGATAACATAATTATGTGTGGCTAATGAACATAATTTAGGTTATTATACAATCTGAACATTTTTTTCAATACTTTTTTGAATAAAATCACAAATTATGTTGAATGAAAGTAGTCTTCTAAATAAATCTTGTCTTTTGCTTTACAGATTTTAAATCTTCTAACAGAAAAAGAAGTGGATATTGTTTTGCCAGCACATTCTATTGTACCAAGAACATTTGTTCTCAAACCAAGAATGGTTTTATTTTTGGGTGCTATAGCCAGAATAGATTTCCTCGAGGTAAGAAAAATCTATGCTGTTGAAAAGTGAACAGTTACAAGGGTGCACTTTAAGAACACATGAAGAGATTGACAAAATACTGATATAACTAAGTCCTATCTGTTGCTTGTTTTGTTTTGTACATATGCAAGTTTTTATAAGAAAAGCTTGGGGGAAAGAATTAAAAATACTGTGTTAAAAATTTGTAAAACTGGTGCCAGGGAAGACGGTTTATCATTAAAAGTGCTTGCTATTCAATCAGAGGAACATAGTTCAGCTCCTAGTACCCACACTGGGCCGTTCACCACTGCTGTAACTCTAGTTCCTGGGGACCCACCTACTCAGGAATCTGTGGATGCCTGCATCCATATGAACTTAGCCCCACATAAATACATGTATACACATAATTTTAAAAATTAAATCAGAGTATTTTCAGTAAATTTTTTTATTTATTTTTAATTTTTAAGAAATCCTACTTCAAAAGAAAAAAGAAAAAAAAGGCACGGCTTGGTGGCACCCTTTAATCCCAACACTCCAGAGGCAGAGCTGCAGATCTCAGTGAGTTTGAAGTCCAGCCTGATCTAGAAAGTGAGACTGCCTCAAAAAAAAAAAAATGCCTCTAATAAGATATTAAATCCCTTGTATATAACTTTGCTTTTTTTTTGTTGTTGCTGTTTTTGGTTGGAGTTATTTTGATGTTGTTTGGTTGCTTGGTTTGTTTTGGTTTTTCAGGACAGGGTCTCTCTGTAGACCCAGCTATCCTGGTATTAAGCTCTGTAGACCAGGCTGGCCTCAAACTCAAGAGATCCACCTGCCTATGCCTCCCAAGTGCCGGGATCAAAGGTGTGCGTCCCACCTGGCTCGTCTTGTTTTTTATAATATCAAGTCTTTAGAAGTCTTAGTTTTACAGTTTACAGGAATGGTTAAAATATGTTATTTCTATATTATACCCTCTTTTAAAGACAGTAGCATACTTTCTTATAATTGAAAGAGAGCTTGATTTGGTTTCTATTTTGTCCTCCTTTTGTTGATGTTGTTTATTTTGAGGTGTGGTCTCGTGAACCCCAGGCTGACCTTAAACCCAGTATTGTAGCTGAGGTTGTCTTTGAATTAATCTTCCGGGCTATACTTCCCTTGCTGGATTAGAGATGTGCATCACATACCCAGCTTTTATTTCTCTCTCTTTTTAAGTTGTACATCATAATGTGTGGGTTCCTAAGTTGTTTGTTCTATAAAATAACGTCTTCCTTTCTTTCCTAAGGGAGATCAATCGGCTTGGTTTACAGTTGTGGCTTCCAACTTCCTTCCTGTTCATATCACTTCCTTGGACAAGGCAGATGCCCTATATGAGAAGCACGCAGGCCACGAGTTACTACTGGTAAGCAGTGCAATTTGATGGCTACATAGCTACAGTAGCTGATAGAGCTCGTGTTGGATAGAACCATCAGTTTACAACAGCTAGCCCTTCTCTCACCTCATCCTCCAGGCATTCTACATGTAATGCAAAAATGGGCTCTACGTGAAAAGGGGGTGTTGGCTTGATCAGAGCCAAGAAAAGCCACAGCAATGTGTTTTTCTCTACAGTGCACTGTCCAATATGGTAGCCACTAGCCACATGTAGCTATCTATGTTTAATCACACTTTCAAGTGCCAGTTAGTCACCTTACTACAGAAAGTTGTATTGGTCAAGCTGGTGGGAAAAAGTCACAGGAGGTGGGAGTCAGAGCACCTTTATTCCCAGCATGTGGGAGGCTGAAGCAGGTAGCTCTCCATGAATTTGAGGCCAGTCTAATCTACATACTGAATTCCAAAAGAAAAGGAAGTTAGGGGTTTTTGTCACAGTTGAGAGGTGCTGCTGACATCTAGTGTGTGTGGACCCTAAGTGACACTCAACCATCCTGCGACAGGTAGGTAATCACTCACGATGAAGAACAAACTAAAATGTCAGTATTGACTGACAAGCATTGGACTGAGAAGAAAAGCTTTCCTGCCTCATTCCTAACCCAGACTCTTGTTTTTACAGGCTTTTTCTCTTCTACTTCCTCCTTTAGACTGTAAATGTTTTCATTGTTCTCACCTTCATTTAAAAATCAAAATGTCCTCAACATTCCTTTTCTTTACTCTTGGCTCCTCCTGCCCCATTTCTATAGCCCTGTTTAGCCCTTATCACCCCATGAAATTTACCAAGCCCAGCTGTCTGAAGTCTGTTTCCAGCTCATCTGAAGACAGGCCCTATGCACCACTGAACAGTGCACACTATATTAAGAATTTTTGTTTGGCTAGGGAGGTGGCCCCTCAAAAGAATACCAGCTGCTCTGCAGAGGACCTTTGTTCAATTCCTAGCACCCTCTTCTTGCCTCCTTGGGCAGCACCCACATGATGTGCAGACATACATGCAAATAAAACAAAAAATTTTAAGGGATTTTTGTATTGATGTTTAAGTCAGCCTCTTGTGTAACACAATGCTGGCCTCTGGTTAGTTATATAACCAAGGCTGGCCTTGAACTCCTGAGCTTCCTACCTCCACTTCTCAAATGCAAGGATCATAAAAATGCCTCAACAAGCTCAGCCAGTTAAGATAATTGAAACCAGACCTGGGTTCACATGTCTTGCTGACTTCACACTTAACAAAGCTGTACACTTCTTGCTCCTCTCCATGTCGTACCTGTCTCTTGAGAAGGATAAAAGATTAAGTGCCACAGATGGAGGTCTCCATCCTTTTCTTTCATGTTTTTTGTTTGTTTGTTTGTTTGTTTTGGTTTTTTGTTTGTTTGTTTGTTTGTTTTGTTCCTTTGAGACATTTTTACTGTAGAGTCCTGGGTATCCTGGAATTTGCTACAGAGACTAGGCTAGCCTGGAACTCAAATCTCTGCTTCCAGAGTGCTGATATGAAAGGCCACCATGCCTGGCTCTGTTATCTTTTCACTCTATTTAGTATGCTTGCTCGCACTCACATCCATGTGCCTTCATGTGGAGGTGAGAGGACAACTTTGTGGTGTCCCACATTTTTCTTGGCTCCAGAGATTGAACCAAAGGTCCCTAGGCTTGCTTCATATATGCCTTTACCTGCTGAGCATCCAGGCCCTAGGACTGTTCTAAGTACTTGCAATTTGGGTGATAATGATAAAACGGCTGTTGCAAAAATAACATGTGCACCCAATATAGCAGTGGTTAATAGCAGTGCTCACGAAACTGAAAACATAAGATAGCCAGGTACGTGTAACTCCAGTATTGAACTACAGAGCCACGAAGATCTGAAGTTCAAGGTTATTCTTGATTCTGTGTCAGGTAAACCAACTTGACCTATAGTAAACTGTCAAAAAAATTTTTTTAAAGAAAAAGATATTAATCTTTCTGTTCACACACCTAAAACAACCTAGGTATTTGGAAGGCTCTTGCTTTAATCGACTTAGATTCCATGCAAATTCCTGTGGTAGCTACAAAAACCGTGTGAGACGAGGATTCCTGCCAGGCCCATGCCCAACATGTGGTGTGGCCCTTAGCCTTGAAAACTGTTACTTCATCTCTTTACAGAACTCCTATGTTCAGCAGCTGAATGTTTTTCCCCCCTTTGCATTTTTATACATCATATACTTATTAATGCCACATAAAATGCTTTTTGAGGGCTGGAGAGATGGCTTAGGGGTTAAGAGCAGTGACTGCTCTTCCTTCCAGAGGTCCTGAGTTCAATTCCCAGCAACCACATGGTGGCTCACAACCATCTGCAATGAGATCTGGTGCAGAGGCCTGCAGGTCTCTGTATACATAATAAAAATAAATCTTTTTAAAAAAAAATGTTTTTTGAGATAACCGAGCAGGCATTATGTTATAATCCAGTGCTTAAAAGGCAAAGGCAGTAGGATCAGGAATTTAAGACCACCCTTGGCTGACCAGGAAGTTTGAAAATAGCATCAGATCCTATTTCAAAAAACAAAAAGAAAAAAATAAAAAGTTTCATTCTGTAGCCCAGGATGGCTTCAAACTCATGAAAATCTCCTTCCCTAGCCTCCCAAATATAGGATGTCCAGCTACAATTAATGGGTTTGGGGGCTTCTTTAATTTTTGTTTGTTTTAAGACAGTCTCAGTACTCAACTGTGTCGATGAGGCTGGCCTTAAACTCAGAGGGATCCTCTTCCCTCCTGAGTGCTGGGATCAGAATGTGAGCCACCATGCCCAACCCCAATTAAGAGGGAATTTAAGTTGAAATGACAAATATTTCTTTTGTTTTATTGGAAGGTTCCAATGGGTGGAAAAGAACGAATGGCCGAATTCCCTCCTCTTGTGGCTGAAGACATTACATTACAAGGAAGCGAAGATTGTAAAGCAGTAGCTGACATCAAGTTCTCTTCTGCCGGTAATGTACTCTGTTGTTGTTGTTTGTTTTTCTTTTTGTTTTGTCCAAGACAGGGTTTCTCTGGGTAGCCCTGGCTGTCCTGGAACTCAAGAGAGCTGTCTGCCTCTGCCTCCCAAGTGCTGGAATTAAAGTGTTCACTACCTCCACCTGGCTGGCTGGTAATGTACTCTTAAAAAGCAGAGCGTAGGCCATGTATGGTGACACATGCCTGCATTCCATCATTTGCAGGGTAGAGATTGGTGATCAAAGCCTATCTATTCTACATGAGACTCTGGTTAGCAAACTGCCTTTGGCCTGATATCAATTATAAAACTAAAAGGCTGGGTATGGTGACATACTGTGGTCCCAGCATTTAAGAGGTTAAAGGAGTGGGGAGACTAAATATGGTAGCTCACATCTGTAATCCCATTGCTCAATTAAGACAGGAGGGTTACTTCAAGTGCAAGGCCAGCCTGTGCTACACAGTGAGTGCTAAACCAGCCTAACATGCCTACCAGCTCTGTGGTTAAGAGCACTTGCTGCAGCTGGGTATGGTGATGCATGCCTTTAATCCCAGCACTAAGGAGGCAGAGGCAGGTGGATTAAAGCCAGCCTGGTCTAGAGTGAGTTCCAGAATAGCCACGGGCTATATACAGAGAAACCCTGTCTCCAGAAAGAAAAAAAAAAAAATTAAGCCAGATGGTGGTGGCACACATCTTAAATCCCAGCACTTGAAAGGTCTCTGAGTTCAAGGCTAGCCTTGTCTCCAGAGTGAGTTTAAGGACTGCCAGGGATACACAGAAACCCTGTCTTGAAGGGGGAAAAAAATTAAAAAGAGCACTGGTTGCTTTTACAGAAAGCCTGGGTTTGTTCCCAGCACCCACATCAGAAAGCTTGCAACCACCTATAACTCCAGGGCCAGGGATCTAGTACTCTGATATAACATACAGGCATAAAATAAAAATATTTTTTAAAGACAAAGGATTACTTTGTCTTTATACGATTATATTAACATACCCTCTCCTAAGACATAGTCATTTATTTATAAAATGCACCTTGTTCTGAAAATGTCTTTGTACTTTTCACAAATCTATTACATGACTTTTTATTGTAATGATTTTAAGGATTTAGTGTGTGTCAGTCCTAGCTTTTAACTTATTGAGACTTACTTCTATGTTTAGCTTCAGATTCCAAGCTAGCTAGCCACAAGCTTCTAGAAAGTACTCCTTTCTGTACTTCGCATCTCCCTGGAGGAGTACTGGGAGACCTAGATGTTTTCTACCATATCTGGGTTGCTATTTCTTAAGACATGACTTCACTAGGCAGCACTTACTGATAGGCTGGCCTGGAACTCTACTGGACAGACTTGGAACCCACACAGATCCTCTTGATGCTTCTTCTAAATGCTGGGGTTAAAGGCATGCTCTGCCACACCAGCTCATTTATTTTAATGTGTATTTGTATATGGGTATGTGCACTTGAGTGCATGTCTTCAGAGACCAGAAGAGGGTATCAGATCCCCCTGGAGCTGTATGTGGTATGAGCCATCCAGTGTGTTTGGGTCCTCTTCAAGAACAATATATGCTCCTTTATTTTTAATTTTTGTGTTTACAAAATGGGGTTTCTCTGTGTAACAGAGCCTTGGCTTCCTGGAACTCATTTTATAGACCAGGCTGGCCTTGAACTCACAGAGATCCACTTGCCTCTGCCTCCCAAGTGCTGGAATAAAAAGCATGTGCTACCACTGCCTGGTTCACATCTTGCTTTTTATGTGAGGCTCCAAAGTTGAACTGAAGTTGTCAGTCTTGCACAAGTGCTTTGACCTGCTGAGTCATCTCCAGCCTTGTATACTTTGATTTGATTCCTTTACTGAGATGATTGATAGCAGCATTTTATGTTTTCTTGAATGTTTCATAGGTTGGGTTGCAGTAACACCTTACTCTAAGGGCACACTGCGTCTTCGAGGTTACAAGCCTGAAGGAACTGTTCTGACTGTCCAGCCCTCCCTCTTGCCATATATCGTTAATGTCAAAGGACAGCGCATCAGGAAAAGTGTGGCCTATAAAACCAAGAAGCCTTCATCCCTGGTATACAATCTGGTGAAGAAAACTAAATAAGACAGACAGACCTGGATTCACACTGGATAGAAACAATACTGAAATATGTTGAAGTTTGTATTACATATAAAAATAATAAAGAGCCGTGCAATGATGGCGCACACCTAATCCCAGCACTCAGAAGGCAGAGGCAGGTGGATCTCAGTGAGTTTAAGGCCATCCTGGTCTACAAAGCGAGTTCCGGGACAGCCAGGACTGTTACACAGAAAAACCCTGCCTCGAAAAACATAGATAGATGAATAGACAGATAGACACACATGAGACAGACCTGGATTCATACTGGATAGTAAGAATGTTTAGATTGTATTAAATATAAAATAGTAAGCCTATCATTTTTAAAGATCTTAAAAGTCAACTTTTTAAACTATTTGTGAGGCTATGCTTATTGATAATATATTGTTTATCAATAAAAATTTTTTTTCTTGAATATATGCATGTCTATGGCCCAAGTGTACATAAGAGGAAGCCTACTCCCTGCAGGTTTTTATGAAGACCTGTTTCATTTCATTTGGAGTTGGTAGTTGACAAAGCAACCTAGTAGTTGATATGAACAAAACAACCTAATCCTCCAGAATACAGTGACTACCTTCCATATAGTCGTCATCCAAGGATCATAATCACTGTTTTCAAGACTGCCGACAAAAGCTGCCTAAAGGAGGAAAGGTTTACTTTAGCTCCTGGCCCCAAAAATTTTAATTTAAACTAATAGAACATGATGGCAGAGGACAGCCATTCACATTTGCAGAGCCAGGAAATACAGCACCAGAACCAGGAGTGACCTTCAGACTAGTTTACTCACCTACTTCTGCCAGCTAGGCTTTATCTCTCAAGTTCCACAGCCTCCCAAGTAGTACTATAAACTGGGGGATACAAGTTCAAAATGAACCTGGTGGTGGTAGAGTACACCTTTAATCCCAGCATTCAGGAGGCAGAGGCAGGCAGATCTCTGTGAGTTCCAGGCCAGCCTAGTCCACAGAGCAGGTACCAGAACAACTAAGGCTACACAGAGAAACCCATTCTTGGGGGTAAAAAACAGGTTAGAGAGATGGCTCAGTGGTTTGTTTTGGTTAGTTGGTTGGTTGGTTTTTATAAAATAGGGTTTCCTGTAGCTTTGGAGGCTGGGTTTAATTTCCAGAATCACATGGCAGCTCACAAATGTCTGTAACTCCAATTCCAGGCGACCCGATATCCATAGCAAAACACCAAAGCACATTAAAAAGCAAACAAAAAGTTCAAAATGAGGGGCTTGAGAAATAGCTCAGCTGTTAAGAGTACTCATTGCTCTAACAGAAGACCCAGGTTCAATTCTCTGCACCCACAGGGTAGCTCACAGCCACCTGTAACCCACTTCTAGCTGACCTGCCTCATCCTACAGTTTGGTCTAAGACCCTGGGAATGAAAAAAGACAGACAGATATATACAGAAGAGCCGTTATCAGGTGGGCTGTGTTGGCTGTGATGGAGCAGCACCAACAACACAAGCTGACCTTCTTGGTTTTATTATATACAGTGGTAGGAGGAGTTAGCTAGCTCCATAGGAGGTAGGTCTCTGGTGAGTCCTTACACACAGCCAGCATTCATGCTCTGACCAGAGGAAGGCTTTGCCATCTCTCCAAGCCTCCAGGGAAAGGCTTTGTAATTCCCATGGGTCCTTGATATGGCTGTGACTGTAGCAAACAATACACATCACTTAGGAGTTCCTTTGCTCCCTACAAGATCCAATGGCCTCTGCAAATACCAAGCATGCAGGTGGTGTACAGACAAAAAATGACAAAAATACTTACAGATACAAAAATTAAGGGGAAAAATGGACACTTATTTTTGACAGCAACTTAAGTTGCCATCCTTTCCTAACAAGCATGAAATGGAACAAAGTGTGGAGAGCAACTTCCCTTTTCAAAAGGGCAAAGAGGATGTTCCACACATTAGCTACTGTCCAACAGTCACAAGACCACACCCACAAGGGAGCTAAGAGATGTAGGAGGGAACAGTTAGGATTTTTAGCAAGGGAGAGTGGACACTGGAGCAAAAGTTAAAAATAAAAATGTACCTGACACTACTTAAAAGTACCAGAGCAAATCGAGAGCCCAGGCATGTGATCTCCATACTCAGGAGGCTAATGCAGTCAAACCTCCATTAGTTCAAGTCTATAGAGTAAGACCCTGTTTCACAAATGAATGGCTAAGAATGTAGCTCAATTGGTACAATGGTTGCCTAGCATGTATGAAGTCCTGGGTTCCATTTCCAACAATACGTAAACCAGGCACAGTGCCTGATTTACTTGTAATCCCAGCACTCGTGGTAAAATCAGCATCAGAAATCCAAATCCAAGGTCATCCTGGATTTGAAATCAGCCTGAAATACATCAGACCCTATGTGATAATTAAAAATAAATGTGCCTAAAAAATCTTCAAAGGATTCATGCTCTAACATGAGAGGTCTGTTTTCAAGTATGATAAACAGGCAACTATTTCTTAACTTTGCCTTATACCAGCTGTATCACGTCAGTAAAGCTTTTGTTGTTCCCATGAAGACTTGCCTCAGCTATGTACAATAAACATGGTATAAATGGGCATGTGGCCAGATCCTAATGCTTCAGTACACAGCCGTGAGATAAGCTGGGCCAAAATGAACTAGTGAGACCCATATTGTCACCCAACAAATGGGAGTTCCTCTTATTGTTTCTCTTATTGGTTGATGAAAAAAACATTGATTGGTCAGTAGTCAGGCAGGAAGTATAGGTGGAACTACCAGACAAGGAGAATTCTGGGGAGAGGACACAAGAAAGTCATCAGGGAGATGCCATGAAGCTACCAGAAAGATAGGATGCTAGACATTTTCCAGTAAGCCAAGACCATGTGGAAATACATAGATGAATAGAAATGGGTTAATAATTAATAGAGAGCTAGCCAATAAGAAGCCTAAACCATTGGCCAAACAGTTTATAATTACTGTAAGCCTCTGTATTTATTTGGGACTAAACAGCTGTGGGTCCAGGAGAGACAGAAACTGACTACACTACTGCCGCAGGCTCTTGAACTAACATCAGCATTTGCCACACCTGTCTTTTCACAGTATTTCAAAGTGAGTTCTATTAGAATTGGGTGAAAGCAATTCTTCAGATGTACAGCAGATTTCAGTATGTCCATCATCCCTTGTCTGAAAACACAATGCTAGGAGCAACCCCAGAACCCCCCAACGTTGCACCTCTAGAGGGCAGCCAAGACTACCCAGTGAGACCCTATCTCAAGAAAAAAAGAATGTTCTGTTATTTTAAAGTCATGGTTTCTCTGTGTAGTCCTGGCTGTCCTAGAACTCGACTTGTAGACCAGGCTGGCCTTGAATTCACAGATCTGTCTGCCTATACCTCCCAAGTGCCGGGATTAAAGGAGTGTACCGATATGGCCTGGCCTCATTTAACTTCTTTTTTTTTTTTTTTTTTTTTTTTTTTTTGGTTTTTCGAGACAGGGTTTCTCTGTGGCTTTTGGAGGCTGTCCCGGAGCTAGCTCTTGTAGGCCAGACTGATCTCCAACTCACAAAGATCTGCCTGCCTCTGCCTCCCGAGTGCTGGAACCAAAGGCGTGTGCCACCACCACCCTGCCATTTTACTATTTTTTAACAGGGAAACTGAAAATATAATTTAGGCTTTTATTTACAGTTAGGGTCTCATGTAGCCTTGGCTGGGCTGGCTACTATTCCCTGTCCTTCTCTAGTGCTGGGATTACAGGGATTGTGCCAGCAATTTAAATTAATGTATGTTATAAGAACAAAGAAAAGCTGAATACTAAACAGACATATTAAATGGGTGAGGTGGTGTAGACTTGTAATGCCAACAGCTGCTAGACAGATTCAAGACCATGACTTAGGATACTTTGTATATTAAGCCATTGCTTTCTGTGTTCACCTAATTCTAAAAGTCAAAGGGCAGCTAACTTTCTATCATTGTTACAAAATACCTGGGAAATAGCAGGAAAGATGGATGTTTCAGCTGTTTAAAACCAGCCCAGCATGGTAGTACACACCTTTAAATCTCAGAACTCAGTAAGTAAAAGCAACCATCTCTGTGAATTCAAGGCTAACCTAGTCTAGAAAGCAAGTTCCAGGATAGCCAGAGCTGTTACACTCTGTCTCAAAAAAAAAAAAAAAAAAAAAAAAAAGTCTTCCAAAGCCCCAGATTTGAATCTTAGCACCCACATGGCATCTATCGGCTGTGTGTAACTGCAATTTCTGAGGATCAGACACCCTCTTCTGGCCTTTGCAGGCATGCACATGGTACACAGACATACATGCAAGCAAAACACCCCTACATGTAAGGGACACTAAACATAAACGTCAGCTTAGAGGAAGATTTGAGTTCAGCTTCAAAAGGTTTTGATGGTCAGACCTATTGAATGAGATATAGACATACAGACATACACACAAACATATGCATTGTTTCGACTGCATGTATGTCTGTGTGTGGGTGTTGGGTCCCTTGCACCTAGAATTATAGACAGTTGTGAGCTGCCATGTGGGTGCTGGGGATTGAATCAGGGTCCTCTGGAAGAGCAGCCAACACTCTTAACCGTTGATCGATCTCCACAGCCCCCAGACTATTGTTTGTGGGCTGTGGCAGTTTGCATAAGATGCCTCTAGTCCCTGACATTTGAACACTTGGATCCCAGTTGGTGGCTATTTGGGGATACTCTTGAGTGATCTTGCTAGACGAATTATGTCAGAGGGCAGGTGTTGAGAACTTAAAGACAGGCACCATCTCAAGTTTGCCCTTTCTTGTACTGTTGAGATGTGAGCACAGGGTGTTCTGTCACCATACCTGGTACTTGCTACCACTCTTCCCTTCTGTGATGGTGACAGAATCTGATCTCTCAGGAACCACAAGCCCAGGTAAATCCTTCTATAAGTTGCCTTGGTAGTGATGTTTAGTAAAGCAGGAAAGAACAGAGACTTGTGGGAGGAATGCACACTTTGGGGGGGGGAGGGTTGTTTGTTTTTCAAGAGGGTGTTTTGCTGTTGTTTTGTTTTTTTAAACAGATTTCTCTGTGTATCTGTGTAACCCTGGCTGTCCTGGATGGAACTCACTCTCTAGACCAGGCTAGCATCGAACTCAGAGATCTGCCTGCCTCTGCCTCCTAAGTGGCAGGATTAAAGGCTTTTACACCACCACTGCCCAGCGGTTTTTTTTTTTTTTTTTTTTTTTTTTTTTTGTTGTTGTTGTGAGCCTAGCCTTTAACAGCTGAGCCGTCTCTCAGCCCTTGGTTGTTGGATTCACCCTGAGTGCCAGGACTTTAGTGTGTAGTCTCCCAGAGTCTAAGTTCGTTCATGTTCTTTGCCATCCTCACATCCTATGGCAACTAGAGAGTAGCAGAGGCCAGATGTGATCCTGTGTGCCTGTTTCCTAATGAAACACTCAGAAACTGGAGATGGAGGCTAGCTTCCTGCAGATGTCGAACTTGAGCCAAGTTGCTCTCCTCACTGAGCAGGAACCCAGTGCTCAAACAGAAGCAGCTCTCCTCATCAGTTCCCATGGCTCCTCTCCCAGTTGGCTCCTATGTCACAGCAAGAACTATTTCCACTTTCTCTTGGCTGCTACAGTACATTTTCTTTTTTCAAAGTGTAATGCTTAAACATCAGGAACTCACTGCAGAGTGCTATGGACAGCACAGCTACCGCTCTAAATGTCTCTCATGTGTTCAGCCCCATTAATGCCCTAGTGAGAGGGGCATAGTTGTGTGAACAGGTTATATATGCACCTCACCTTTCCTCATAACACTCCTAAATACATCCAGATTGTCTTCAGAACACACTCTCCCTGAATCCCTGTTTCAAATGCCTCCCTTCCTAAATAACTTAGAACTTACTTTCTAGTAGTCAGTCCAGCAGAAGAATGTATTTGACCTTTATAGCCTTGTTGATTGACGAAACAATAGGTACAATGCTAAAGCCAGGCATGGTAGTGGCCCATGTCTTATTATCCCATCACTTGGGAGGCAAAGGCAGGAGGACGATTACAAGTTCAAAACTAGCCTGTCTCAGGACCAAGGTACAATGCTTAATCACTGACTGCACTGCTGGTGCCTCTGCCCAGATACTGAGGCCATGAGAGCACAGCTGGATTTAATCAATATATCACCATGGTATTTGGAAGTGCAAGACCACCAAGATCCTCCCTACACTTTCATCAAGTCTGTGTGAAGGAGTGTCTGGCCAGTAGGTGGATGGGGGATGAATTGGGAATATTAGTTCATTGGGTAGTTTTCCTCCGAGAAATAGCCACAGCAACTTGTTTAATATTGTTTACACTGGCCAGTGGGTGTATGGGGTATGAATTGGGAACATGGGTTCATTGGGTAGTTTTCCTCCTTGAGAAATAGCCACAGCAACTATTTTAATATCGTTTACACTGGCCAGTGGGTGGATGGGGATAAATTGGAAACATTGGTTGATTGGGTAGTTTTCTTCCCTGAGAAATAGCCACAGCAACTTGTTTAATATCGTTTACACTGGCCTCTTATAGAGCTACTGCTCATAGTTGGTACCATAGTCATCATAGCCCATATATATGCCCAAATATATCTTAGAACAAGCATGAAGTATTTTGCCTGCATGTGTTTATGCAAACACAACCCAACAGGCCAGAAAAGGGTACTGAATCCCAGGAATACCAAATTAGTTGGAGGCTTCCATGCAGGTATGATGCAATGCCAGTATGCAAAACCCCTTGATGTTAGAGTTCTGGATGTGTTACCCAACTAAGATGCTGAGAACCACAACATGGTGTTCTGGAAAAGTAGCAAGTGTTAACAGCTGAGCCTGGTCTCCATCTCCAGCCCAACATTTTTTTTTTTTTAAAGGATTTAAGGTTTATTTTGGTCATATGGTGACACATATTTAATCCTAGCACCAGGGAGATTAAGGCAGTAAGAGTTCTAAGCCAGCCAGAACTAGTGAGACCTTGTTTCAAGAAATAAATATGAGTGTTTGCCTGTGTATACACCACGTATCAAATCCCTCTTTTGTGGTGATATATTAATGACTTATTAGAGCTTGCCTGAGGGTTCCAAAGCAAACATAGCTACAAGCTATAGAGGTCAGGTAACAGGGATACACACCTTTAATCCCAGCAGCCATGGTAGCAAGCCATAGAGCCAGTCAGTGTTGGCACACATCCCAGAGCTAGGACACAGGCAGATGGATCTGAGTTCAAGACCACCCTGGCATACACATATGTGAGGAATAACAGAGCTCATGCCTTTGATCCCAGTACTATAAGACAGGAGTGAAATGGCCAGGCTGAGAAAAGAATATAAAGCAGAAGAGACAGGAACTCAGCTTTTGCCTCTGGGGATTTGTGGAGACAAGATTGTCATTTCAGATTGATAGAGTGAATTGAAGAAAATAAGCTACTGGTTTGCTTTGCTTTTCTGATCTTCGGCTTGAACCCCAGTATCAGTCTCTGGGTTGTTATTCATGTTACCCCCTTCAACTAAAGTTAGTTATAAGCTACCTCATGGGTATTAGGAGCTAACCCTGAGTCCTCTGTAAGAGCACCTGTTCTTAACTGCTGAGCCATTTCTTCAGCACCCTTCTCTTTCTTAATGCATGTCTGTGCATGTGAATAGCTAAAGGCCAGATGTTGACGTTGAATATCCTCCATCATTTTCTACTTTGTGTGTGTGTGTGTGTGCGCGAGCGCGCGCGCGCGCACTCAACTGCCACAGTGCACCAGTGAGGGGACCATTCGTAGCGTACAGTTCTTGTCAGTCCCAGTGTCTAAATCAGGTCATCCTGCTTGGTGCAGGGGCCTTTAGAAATTCTGCTACTGCAGCTTTGTTTTCTTCCTGGTTGTCTCAGCTGCCATCTCATACAATTGTACTCTGGGCATGTACAGGTATGTATAGTGTGAAGATCCCTCCCATCTTCAGCAAAATAGCCCAAAATAGTTCCAGTACAACCTCTCGCAGTCTCACCACCTCATAACCTTACAAATAGCTTGTGCCTTTCTTCCTGGCTTGCTGGAAGTGTTCCTTATTGATAGTTTGTCAAGTACCACGGACAGAGCACAAGGAAGCTGAGATATTAACAAAGTACTGATCAAATTGGATACACTGGAAAAACACAAAAATCCAAATACCACTAAAAAAAAAGCCAGGACCCGGTCTGCTTCATACTCAGCCCTGCAGCGTAACTGCTGGGATTATAGGCATGCACCACCTTACCCTACAAACCTGTGACTAAGTTGTTTACTTAGAATTAAAGCAACATCTCAGAACAGTACTTTGTTTATTGTGTTTTGTTGTTTTGTTTTGTTTTGTTTTTCAGACAGGGCTTCTGTATAACCGCTCTGGCTGTTCTGGAACACTGTAGAAGAGGCTGGCCTCAGCTATCGGCCTGCCTCTGCCTGAGTGCTGGGATTAAAGGCATGTACCACCAGCACCCACTCAGTTGTCTAATGACTGGTTCTGCTTTTGTAGCGCTCACCCAGCTCATCCTTTGTAACATCTTAGTTAAGAAAACAATCATTGTATTGTACTTTATTTCTAATAAGGAGTCATTCATGAGGTCATGGACTCATCTGTAAATAACCGATATCTAATGTTCCTTCTTTCTCATGATGTGGGGGGGGGGGGTCTCAGATAAATAACTGCATTGAGATTAATGTCGTTTTCCTTTTCTTTGATGCTTTGCAAAATTCACTGTTTCTCAACTCTCCTCCCTCTCTTAACTATACAGACACCTAGGCCTTTTGCAGCAGGGAGTGTCAAACCTCAGTCACAGAACTAAAATGTTTTCCTTTTCAGCCCTAGTAAATAGAGTAGGACCCTAATTAAAACAGTGGATTCAGTGAACTCAAAACTCAGCCTCTTTTCACCACTCTTTTTGTTTGTTTTTTTTGTTTTTATTTTTTTTTTAAGACAGGCCATCCCAAGCTGTCCTGGTACTAGCTATGTAGACCAGGCTGGCCTTGAATTTACAAATCTGCCTGCCTCTGCCTTCCTAGTGCAAGACTGAAGGCATGAGCCACCAAGGCCCAGCCATCACATCCTTCCTTATAGTCTGCTCATCTCGGGCCCAGCTACTAGAAAGGGATATGCACACTTGAGGCTATTAAACTGTGTGGGAAGAAACCTCTGAGTAAAATGGAATTGCTCAGTCTCTCCCCACCCTCTACCCTTGGTGCTACCCAAGGAGAACATGAACTAATATTAGGAAGACTATGCCAACGTTTCCTTAGAAACTAAGTCACACAGAAGTAGCTAGCATTCATCTGAAGCACTTCCTCCATGGCAGTTCAAAGGTGGCCTGGCCACTTGCTTAAAGTGCCCATTAGGCTCCATTCTCTTAATGGAGCCTGACTCTGCCAGGCACTTTGGGATACTAAGCTGGCTAGACAGCCACTCACTAAGCCCTGTGTCTCTAATCAGCAGATACTTCTGTCCCACAGGCAGGATGACTCTGGGCTGCCCAGAAAAGTGCAGCCCTGGTCTGTCTCCAGATTCGCTGTCACAGTATCTATGTGCTGTAAGTTCTCCCCATTTATCCAAAAACAACCAAACTCCTAGTTTCTGCCTCTCTAAGAGGTGTAATTGCTCAGTGTCTGGACCTGAAGAGATCTACAAACAAAAGCAAATGTGCAACTGCAGTATTGTAGCTCAGACATAACTGTAATCTCTGTCCAGGGTCAGGAGCCACAGCCTGTCTGCACTATCACCACAGAGTTCTCCCTTTATTAACCTCTTTCTCACTGTGAAGGTACAATACCTAACACCTTAGTGTCACTCCCAACTCTAAAACCACAACATTACTATCCATGCTATCCACTACCTACTAATGTCTCCATAGCCAACACTGTATTAGAGACAAAATTCAATGATGGAGCCCTTGCCTACAATGCACAAGATCTGGGTTTGATCCTCAGTACTGAATGAAAACCAAAGACAATCAAGGTATAAACTTACCCGCAGTTACAGAAAAAAGTTGATCTTGGCTCTTTAGATACACCAATAATAAACAAGGGCCTGGTGCTTTTGTAGAACTTTATTTCAATGTAACTATATGCATAAGAAATACACTCATATTGGTTAATAGAATGCAATTATGTTTAACTTATCCTACACAATCTTGACCAGAAACTTGGTACATGGTTTACAATTTAAAAAAAAAAAAAAAAAAAAACCTGCAATCTGGTTTATTTCTATCTATTACAAATGTATAAAAGATCCTCCGCCAAGTGCTGCTGAAGGCAGCAGAACCTTGAGAAATATACCTTTGGTTTGCCTCAGAAAAGTAACATATTGCACTGTAAAAGTTTATAAAATTGGCGCAAAACATTGTTGTAATGTTACAATACCATTTTTACGAGTTCAGTAACTAATGGGAGCCTATAGAACACATGTAGAGTTGTAAAAAAGCTATCTCACTCAGCCAGCCTTTCATGTAGACTGTAAATCTACATATTCAGAACATTTCTGAACTAAGACTATCCGCTCACTTCATCTGTTACAATCAACCAGGAAGCCCTAGGATATACCTTGATTTTTGTAAAAAATAAAAATGGAGTTTCTTCAGCATTTCAGTCCACAAGTAACAGTACACAGGCAAACTGTTCTTTCCATTGTCAACATTCATAGTGAACTGCTTGAAGTCAACTTGGGATTTAATTTGCATTAGCACTTATATGCAAAGTAGTCCAAGTTGATGACCTCACTTTAAAAGTAACTCTAAAGTAAATGGCCCTCCTTGGAAGACTAGGAGAAAGACATCCAGCCAGAGCTGTAGAAAGTCTCATAAAAACAATGTACCCTTTTATGAATTACGCCTCAATTAAAAAAAAAAAAAAAAACAAGTAGCCCCAAAGAAGCAGCTCTGAAAAAAGAAAATATAACTTAAGATATCTTGAAAGAAACAAGGTGAATACAGTTTCAAAAATAATTAAGATACACTTTCCTAAGGCTACCTAGGATTAGGCTTTAAAGAATTCTACCATTTCAAGTTTACCACTAGTTACTAATTATCAATTTACAAATAAGATGTTCACTTTTTTTGTTCCTTATCAAGAGAAAAATCTCCCTCAGACTTTGAGGGCGATGATGGGAAGGGAGAGACTAGAAAACAAGATTCGAACAATCCCATGCAAGTATCAGTTTTCAAATGGAAGAACTCCAAACTGTACTAGAAGTTCCATTCACTAAGACACTTTCTGTTGAAACAATGTAAGTACAAATACATGGTACCAAAGTTCAGGCCTAATATAGGCCTGACAACCAAGTCCTTGTTTTCTGGAAGAAAGACCTCAACAGTCCCACTCAATTTCAAAGATCAATTTAATGAGGTTTTTTTAATTTTCTTTTTAGTTTTGTTTTTAAACTTCTAATCTTAAACTCCAGATTAAATCTTAGTTCAACTCCCAGAAGGTATTGTTTTCCTCTGCTATATGAAAGCCTCCAACCTGTGCTTGCAACATCTTGAAAAGGTAATGTAGGTAAAATGTGCTCATGAACATTAAAACTAGTTGTTAGAAAGACTGAACTAGCTTTATAATTTAAGTTTTAAAACATAAATACTTGCAGCTTGATCTGCACTGACAATGATTGTCGGAGCCTAGAATTTAACATTTATAAATTCTCATACACACACACAAAAACACACTATTATCACACAACTTGTGTCTTGAGAGAATCTTCTGCTTTTTAAATCTTTGGCCTCCCAGTCAATCCCAAGTTCAACCAACTTTAACTAAAACTTCACTCAGAATTTCACCATGCTTTTCACCCATACATTAATGCTTGTTGTATCTCTCATGAACTGTCAAAATCTGAAGCCTGCTCAGAGATCGCCAGGTAAAAGAAAATAAATGAAATACAGGTTATTTCAAAACAGAACATGACCATCAAAATGCCACAATTCCCTATTGGGACCATGCTTTGTTTACTATTGCCAGTAAGAAAAATCCCATCACACACAACGGGTTCTGGAGCATGTGGTTTCTCATACCAGTGCCCCCATAAGGACACCAGGATAGCTACAATTCACTTGAGACCTCTCCTCTACAGAGGTTGTCTCACAGGGGCAGCGAGGACACCCACTAGTTTGTGGAGATCCCTGAGGAAAGTATGATTCTTCAAATCTGGACTATACTTAATTAACATCAGCCCTGTTCAGGTACTCACTGGAAGGAAGATGCACCTGTTTGCCAGAACTCAGCACTCCATTCTAGGTGAGCCACGAGGCCATGATGGCTTTCTCACAGTGATATTCTAGGAAGGATAATTATGCTTGGCTCCAGGTTTGCTGTTTCCAAGGATCACTTGGAGTTCTTTATTCAGTTGAGCAGCCATCCCAACGTCAACACCTACTGAAAAAATAACTCTTCAAAGAATGACTTATCACTCTCTAAGAAATAAGCTAGAAACAGCGAAATAAAAAATCCTAATGGCTGATATTTGAAATTAAATTTTGTTCAATATGGGATCTAATGACTCACTGAACAAAATCAGACAGGAAAGCTGTGGAATTACACATGCTCACCATTCAAAATAACTTACATGAAACTGATTCTGGCATACATAAAGGTGAAAATTAAAGTAAAAAAATAAACAATGGATTGAACCTGCATGTTCCATTGCTCATAAACTTGCACACTATTGTTCTGCAAGACAATTGCAGCAAAGAAAAGGAAAACGGCACTTTTACAAACAAGCCTAAAAGCAACCCCCCCAAAAGAAAGAAAAAAAACATGCATATGTATAAAGTGTTACTATTAAACACAATGCTATTTCTAGGAGGGAAAATTAACTGCATAGGTTAAAAACAAACAAAAACCATGTGCAACATATTAAGCCAGTAAAGCACCAGAAAAACACCAAAAATCACTTTTTATAATGATTAACATACAAACACAAAATATTGACCATAAGTCAAGAAGCAATTACCTGGACAGATACAATGTCCACTGTTGAAAGAATTTTTCTTCAATTTAAATGTCTTTTCTCAACTCTAAAGAAACTTTAAAGTGCTAACTTTACTTATATAAAGCAGGCAAATTCTTCAAGTAATTTGCTATGCCAATTTTTACCAATCTAAACAAAGAACTAAAAGTAGAAATTAAAGTGAAAAGGACAGGAAAAAAAAAAAAACTGTTACGGTTGTAGGTAGATAACACAAGAGATCGTGTTCTACCATCTTGCCTTTCTCTTTTCACCTGACTGCACAAACTAACATTGAAATACCTGTTTTCTTAACATTAATTCCCTAGGATTTGCTAAGATTTATGCAAGAGTCACTAGATAAGCCATAGAGTCGTAAGAAAAAGAATGTCTTTTAAAAATCAGCACTTGACACTAAAGCAAGCTTGTGTTTATAACAAACTAATAGAGGCATGTTTAGAAACTATGAACTGCACCTCCACCAGGGAACTAGCTATTCCTGCCCTTCAGCTGCTTTTTCCAGGAAGTACACATTAACCAAATGTCGATTGAGGTGTTTGCTGTAATCTTTTTCCTTTCTAAAAGAACGATCACAGAAAATACAAACAAAATCCCCCTCACTTACTTTAACTGCCAACCCTTCCTTTCCATTTTTTGAACTAGCTTCTTGTGACACCGGCCGAGCCCCATGCAGCCCAGAATCATCACTACCCTCTGACATATTATCACTCAGGTCACTTCCATCATGGCTATGGATGCCTTCATCTTCATCCATTTCCTGAGACTCATTTTCAGCCAAAGTGACAGTTGATGATGCTGTTTCAGCTGATGGGATAAGAGGCGGTGTTGACACTGGTTCAACTGTTGAGTCTTTCTCAGGGACACTGTCTGCTGTGTTCTGCTCAGGGTCTAGTTCCATTTCACAAACCCCAGTTGAACCAGTCTGACACTTAGCAGGTAATATTTCACCATCTGGCACACTTGAGTTCTGTTCCAAGGGTAAGCCATTGGTAGACTCCTTGGGAGCAGTAAGCTCACCAAGACTCTCAACAGCTTCCTCTGTTCCTACTTTATTTCCTACCCCATCAGAGACAATCTTTTGGTCCATGGCTGTCTCTTCTCTCCTTGAATTTCCCTTTGGCGGTGGTGATGACAGGGCTGGAAGGTCCTGTGCACCCTTGCTTTCCTTTAGAAGCTGACTATCTCTAACAGGCACTAAGCCAACTTCAATAAGAACTTGCTCCTGCCGCACCATCTCACTCTGCATGTCCAACCTCTCCTTTGAACTTCTCCTATCTTTCCTTGGAGATGACCTTTTGGTGATTGGCTTGACTTGAAGAGGTGGCTCCGTGATAGCAGGAGGCTCCATCTGAACGCATCCCATGTGAGAAGGTTCTGCCTGAGCAACCTCCATCTGAGCATGGTCCAAAGGAGAAGGCAGCTCTTTCTGACAATGTCCCACCTGAGGAGGCTCCAGGGGAAGAGCTGGACCCCCCTGAGGAGGCTCCATGGGAAGAGGCGGCTCTACCTGGGGAGGCTCCAGGGGAAGAGGCGGCTCTACCTGAGGAGGCTCCAGGGGAAGAGGCGGCTGCCTCTGAGGACTCCCTGTCTGGGAAACCTCCACCTGTTCAGGCCCCGTCTGAGCAATAATGATGGGAGAAGGAAGGCCTGTCTGTGTGGAGCCTGCCAGAGGGCCCACCACCTGAGTGAGCGCAGGGACTGGAGAGGCCTCCCCCTGAGCCAGCTCTGTAGAAGGAGGCTCTGTCTCCTGAACGGGTCTGCTGCCTTTCTTACTTGATTTGCTTTTTAGAGTTTTCTTCTTTGCACCTTTCCTAGTGGAAGTATTTTGGTTTTTATCATCCCCCTTATTCTCCTCCATTCTGTTGCCACCCTTGGGCGCCTCGTTACTATTTTTGGATTTGCTCTCTACCTTTTTTTTCTTTTTTGTCACTGGTTCCTCATTCATGGGATCACCTGAGGAATGGGCTTCAGCATTCATCTTTCGTTTGTTTTTCTTGGCTTTACTGAATTTTTCCGAATTATTTCCTGTATGTACAGCTATGTGTTTCATCTCTGCTGTTTTAGTCTCTGTCGCGGATTTCCGAGTTCTGGTAGTTACCTGGACCACTGACACATTGCCAGAAGACTTCTTTTCTTTTGACACATCTTTTTTCTCTGCTTTTAGGGGCTTCTCATTTTTCTTTCCAGACATATCCCCCTTTGTTTTCTGTTGCTCTGTCTCTGTTTTTTCATTGGTGACATTACCATTCAAGTCAGCCTCCCTCTTTTTGGTTTTCTTTAGTTTCACTTTTGAGACATCCATTGTTTTATTAGGGCAGGTAGGATGTTTAGATTTGAAATGATACTGCAGATTACACTTCTTGGAAGCTGCATAGTCACACACGGGACAGTTGAACTGCCTTGGGTTAACATGCAGCTCAACATGTTTTTTGAAGTTGCTTCTATCAGCTGTTTTGTAGTCACAGTGAGGGCAATTAAGAGGTTTAGGCCCGTTGTGAACCTGTCTTGCATGTCGGGTCACTTCGTGCTGATTTGAAGCCACATAACTGCACTGATCACATTTAAATGGCTTCTCACCTAAAGGTAGAGAAGAGATGTTACCAGAGATAGAAGACACAAATCCAACACTAAAATATCTCTAGGAATTGTACATGTAAAATAACCACAAAGACATTCATTGGAAAGACTTCATCATGCAGCTTTGGTTTGTCCATATTTATTTGTATAACTTTTCTCTATCTGGAATGGAGGCTTGATTCTCAGCATAAACTTGAGGAAGTTTATGAAGTTCTCTTTCTTACTATTCAAAAATAGGCTCTGCACAAAAGCACACACCAGCTGGCACAGGCAGCAAAGCCTCTGAATGTCAGCTCTGGGACAAAGCCACTCCAAGAGGAAAACCTTTCTAATTTTCTGCTCCTCACCCTAGAGAATTCTTTTAAACTAAAATATAATGTAACACAATACAAAGCACACATTTGTACAGTAAACCTGGAGTGGAATCTTTAACTTTGGGCCACAGTACCAGACTTGGATGCCTAAATTTTAAGGCTCTACTTTGGCCTAACGCAGTAAAATTAACCCTTTACTCACCACAAGGTGAGTTCAGTGACACTCAGCAAGTTTTCTTATACCAGAGTAACTGTTTTAAAGCAAAAATAAGGCTGAAGTCAACTAGAAAACGAGTGATATTGTTTTCTATCTCAACTTCTCTATAAAAAGAGCAAAGAAGCTAAATGAGGGTTGGCATACAAATAGATATGGTACATAACACAGGCAGTCATGTCACAGAGCCCACCCACCCCAAAATTAAAAGCAAAAAAACATTCTACCTGAATACATACCCAACTAGATCACACTCTAGTAAATATTACCAATTGGTATCCATACCCCACTGGTCCAATGGAATGCATAGTAGAGAAATGGAAATTGACATTTATGAAAATTAATCTTTCAAACAACCAAGTTTTTCATAAGCAAAATTAGACATGAAGCTTAACTATAACAATAGTAAAGATTACATCATTAGAAATGTCTGTTGACAGAATCCTAAATCCCCCCCCCCCCAAAACCTACCCAGGAATATCAAATTAGGTATGTAGGTAAATGGCAACTCTTTCCACATTAAAATTCAAGAATTTCAGCCAGGCATGGTAGTGGTACCAGTAATCCCTGCTACTGAAAGGCTGAGGCAAGAGGACCACTGTATTTGAGGCCAATATGGGCAATTTAGCAAGAGCCTATATCTCAAAACAAACACCAAGCCCTAGATTCAATTCCCCATAAAAACGGGCATGGTGGCACACACATAATCCCAACACTCATTAAATAACATAGTTTTTTTTTTTAATTACATATGTATATAATATACACACACTCACTCACACAGAGCAAGAAGGCCCCTAGATTAAGGTACTTCTTACCAAGCCCGAGTAGCTTGGTGAAATGACCCACATGGAAAGCAGAGACACCACTCTCACAAGCTGTCCTTGTGTGGTCTCCACACACGTCATGAATGTATGTCGATACATATACAATAAATTAATTTATTAAATAATTACTGTGATCTTGGTACTGCAGTTCCAGGATGGCCAGGACTACACAAAGAAATGCTGTCTCAAACAACAAAAACTTGGTGCTGTAACCCTTACCAAGAAAGAGCAGTATCTGGGGAGGGCACAGGCCCTAGGTGTGAATTTACTTCCATTTATAGCAGTCATGTCATCAAACTGCTTTCTAAACAATTGAGTCTATCTATATCTATAGAGTTAGAGAAGATTCTTACTGCTACCAAAGAAGGGTAGTTCAGAGACTCATGGCAGGCCAAAGTGTGATTGTAGAATGCTTAGCCATAAATAAAACATCTAAGTTACACTACCCAAAGCTCAGGGAATATCACATAAGAGGGAAAGACTGAGTCTAAGAGCCAGAGAATGGAGGCTGTACAGCAGAAACATCTGAGCCAAAAAGGATATTTTAAACGTGACTGTCCGCACATCTAAGATGAGACCCATCAACATTCCAGATGGATGGAGGAGGGGCATAGAAGGCTCCACTCTTTCCTGAGAAGCTAGTTAATAATAGGTGGCAAGGGATGTCAAGTCATATACCCCAGTGGTATAGCCAAGCTAAGGAAGTAACTTCCTAGCCATGCTTACTAAAGAATCCTAATTAAACTCTATGACCTCAAGAGGGGAGGGGCCTGGAAGGAGGAGGGAACTTGAAAGGGATAATAGGATAGGGAGTTATGCCTGAGACAGATCCTCAGAACCCACATGGAAGAACCAACTCCTGTAAGTTGTTCTCTGACCCACATGCATGACTGGTATGGCCTATGTACCCCACACACATAAAAAAATGTAATTGAAAAAAAGTCAAATTCCTATCTAAGCCATCAAGTCTTATAGAAGGAACCTTTACCAGCTGAGCCATCTCTGATAGCCTGAGACAGGGTCTCACATATCCCAAGCTGGCTTTGAACTCATTACATATGCACAGATCATATAAAATTAAAAAAAAAAAAAAAAGGGACTTAAGGGGGCTGCAGAAATGGATCAATGATTAAGAGCACTGGCTGTTCCTCCAAAAAACCCAGGTTCAATTCACAGCACCCGTAAGGCAGCTCACACCTGTCTATAACCCTGAGATCTGACATCCTCACAGAAACAGATGCAGGCAAAATACCAATGCAAATGAAGTAAACTTAAAAAAAAAAAAAAGGGGGGGGGGAGGGCTTAAATGAAAACAGTCTCGCCCTTCTCTACAGCAAAACATAAATAAAAAGCTACCTACATAAGCTCCCAAAGGGCCAGAATGTATTTTCTTGATCTATTTCCAAGTCCCAGAATTTAAAAACACAAGAACACAACAAAAACCAAGCTGGGCATTGGTAGCACATGCCTTTTTATCCCAGCACTCAAGAGAAGAGGTCAGCCCCATCTATAGAGAGCTAGTTCCAGGACTGCCAGGGCTACACAGAGAAACCCTGTCTTGGAGGGGAGAAAAAAAAAAAAAAAAAAAAAGAATGTACTTTAAGGGGGGGGGAGGAGGCTGTATATTACTGTGAGGGCTACATATACATATGTTTTGAGTGGTGGAACAGGGACGCCACTCTTTCCTGAGCCACCACACACCCGACTCCCTTTATTTTGAGACCGGTCTTATATAACCCAGGCTGGCCTCCAACTCACTATGCAGCTGTCTTGAATGTCTCACCTTCCTGCTTCTGCTTCCTAGCACTGGGATACCAGTTTTAGGGCAAGCTAGGATCAAAGAACCCACACCTGAGTACTCTACCAACTGAGCTACAAGCATAGCTCCATCAACTATAATTGTCTTTAGATACTATGGTTGATAAAGTAAGAGGTTGGGAAAATTGGGAATTAAAACCTAACTTCTCATTTGAAACTCTTATCCTTTTTTATCTTCATCACGTGCCCTCATCTATAAACTTAAGACTGGTATCATTGCATTAACAACATTAATAAGATAAGTTACTTTCTTTGTCTCTTTTTGTTAAGAAGCAGGGTATCTCTGTGGAACCTGTTCTGGAACTCACTCTGTAGACCAAGCTGCCTCCCAAGTGCTGGGATTAAAAGGGGACACCACCACCACCTAGTTTGTAATTTTCAGTAATCTGCACGCATATAGCCAATAGTATTAAAAATACTTACCATAGTATAACAATTACTGATAACTATAATACCTTTAAGACACAGTAAGCCAAAACTCCAGACATCACTTAACAAACCCAAATAAAAGATAACAGATTATCAACCAGGGCAAGACAACATAGAAAACACTAAACACTGCCCCCCCAAAGAAAGAGTGGGATGGGCGTTAGTGGCGCATGCCTTTAGTCCCAGCACTGGGGAGGCAGAGACAGACGGATCTCTGTGGATTCAATGCCAGCCTGGACTACAGAGCTAATTCCAAGACAACCTCCAAAGCCATAGAGAAACCCTGTCTCAAAAAACAAAATGAGAGGGGAGGGGAGGGAGAGAGGAAGACAGGGAGACAGAGAGAGAGGGGGGAGGGTGGGAAGACAGAGAGATAGTTTAGGAAGACACTCAAAAGTACATCAACATAGTAAGCATGTAGGAAAAGCCATGGTGGAGCAGGCCTTTAGTCCTAGGTCCTAGGAAGCAGAGCAGGAGCTGTGAGCCCTGGACTAGCCATTTAGGCTAGCCTAATCCACATGAGCATAGTGAGAGCTCTAGGCCAGACAAAGAAGGAAGCCTGACAAGACCCTGAGAACCTGGAAGTGAAGCTCAGTGGTTAAGCTAAAGCTTAGCAGAGGCCAGCACTTCAAAAACACACAAGAGCCAAATCAGATTGTATATGATACAACCAAATTTATATAAGCTTTGTAGTCACATTACTACGGTAAAACAGTGAGGTAAAACATGGGCTGAAGGCTCTATCAGGAATTCAGATCCTAGCATCCATATCATTTTAGGTAGCTCATGAACACATGAACACCTGTACACTCCAGCTTCAAGGAATTCAGCACCCACTCCTAGCCTCTGTGTGCATCCACATACAAGAAAAATACAAACTAATAAAAGTGATAAACAAAAGTAGGTTAAATCAGAAAGAACATAAAGATGAGTGGGAGGGGATACAGAGATGATCTGGGAATTAGGTGAGTAAAAAAACATCATCAATTAACTAGGGGTTACATCAAAATGTATTGCTTGTTATTGGGGTTAACCTGCCTCCATGCAGATTACAGAATGTACCTGTGACCAACTCTGTAATATTTTGTGGTTTTTTTTTTTTTTTTTTTTTTTTTTTTTGAGACAGGGTGTTGCTGTGGGACCCTGGCTGTTTTGGAACTTGCTATGTAAACCAGATCACTGTTCTATCGCTCAACCAAAAAAAAAAAGAAAAGAAAAAAAAAGTAATAAACTCACCTGTGGTCTATGAATAATTTTTATGGAGAGATGGCTCAGCATTTAAGAACAATTTCTGCCTTGGAGAAGACCCAAGTTTAGTTCCCAGCACCCATCTACAACTCCAGTTACAGAGCTCCTAACCATCTACAACTCCAGTTATGGGGGATGACACCCTCTTTTGGCCTGCACAGTGCACTTCAGGCAAAACAGTCATACACTATTAATAAAATTTCAGAAAGGAAAAGGAAACTTCCCCAGAAAACATTTGCAAACAAATTCACATCTATTCGGTTTCTGGAATCTCATCTATGAGAACCCATACTTACCCTCCCTATTCCCATTTTGGTTTTGCTTCCTCGAGACACATCTGGTGATACATGCTTTTAATCCTAACACTTCTGAGGCAGAGGCAGGTGGACCTCTGTTGAGTTCCAAGCCAGCAATAGCTATATAATAAGAACACCTCTAAGAAAAAAAAATTTAAAGACTTCCAAACACATTGTTATAAACAACTCAGTTTCCATTCTAAAGAAATTCTTTATAAAGAAGTTAACAGTGAAATAAATAAAAGTAGTATTACTGAAATGGTGGAAGTTACCATCTCTTACCAACCTGAATGAGTGCGCATGTGGCGAGTTAAGTGAGTCTTCTGAGAACTTGAATAAGGACAAAGTTCACATTTGTAAGGACGCTCTCCTGCAAAATGACAGTGACAGTGTTCAAGGTGGAACAGTGAACCAGAAACAACTTCAACAGTTAACAATCCCCTCCCACATTTTGGGTATTTCAGGGTTTTTGGTTGGTCTGTCCCAGTTTTGTTTACTGGATTTTCAATCAGGTTCCTCTAGGTAATCCAGGCTAGACAAAACACTCAATCCTCCAGCCTCTGCCTGAGTACAGGTTTATACAACTATACTAAGAAAGAACTTGTCCCCAGCAGCCATTTTCCAGTCTTTATTTTGAGATAGGGTCTAAAGTGGGAACTTGTGATCATATAGACTCAGTCTCTCAAATATCTGGTGTCACAGATCTATGCTGCCTGGACAAGCTTCTGAAGGATACTTTTATTTTATGTTTAAATTGTTGTGGGGCTAAATGTAGCCCAGGCTAGCACAGATGACCCTGAACTGATCCTCCTCCCCTAAAATCTCATGAGCTTGGATTTAAGGCATGAGCCACCATAACCATAGCACAGTATTTGCAACAAAATTACTCCTCCCACTATTGGCAGAACCAGTCCACTAATCATATTGTGTTAAGTATAAGCTGGATCTGAGTGGGTACTACATAGCATCTACAACCCTCCCTCACATGGGAGGTGAAGGTAAGAGATGGAGACAATGTCAACTAAGAGTTTCTACAGAGAGTCCAAAAAATGAGCACCTGGTCCAAAATTAAGAGCAACTGCTGCTCTTGAAGAATTCCAGTTTAGTCCCCGGTACCCATACGGTAGCTCATCCAACCATGACTTCAGTTCCAGTCTGAGGCCCTCTTCTGACTTCCTCAGGCACCAGACATGCATGTGGTACACACACATGCATGCAGACCAAACACACTCATACATATAAAAACAACTTTTCAAAGGTAGAAATAAAAAACAAAAAATTCTCAAATGTTTAAAAAAAAAAGTCCTGCATGACTGAGTTCCTTCTCAAAAGGGAAAGGGGGAGGGGCAGCTAAAATGCTGTTTAAGAGGTATCCAAAATCTATTCTTTCTCTTGAGCCAGGGCCTCACCCTCAGGGGCTCCCACTTAACTAACATCTAGAATGTCTCCGATAATGGCACCCACACCAGAAGCATTTCAAGGAATTACTTTAATTAAGATGTTTCCTACCAAGTGGTGGTGGAGCACACCTTTAATCCTAGCACTTGGGAAGCAGAAGCAGGTGGATTTCTGTTCTCTGTGAGTTCAAGACCAGCACGGTCTGCAAGGGCTAGTTCCAGGACGGGCTCCAAAGCTATACAGGGAAACCCTGACTGGGCAGTGGCATCTCATATTTGGGAGGCAGAGGCCAGCCTGGTCTATAATGAGAATTTCAGGAGAGTCAGAGCTGTTGTTACACAGAGAAATCCTGCCTGGGGAAGTTGGGGGTGGTTATTTCCCTTAAACAAAATCTTAGCTGGCAGTGTCCAATGTATCCCAACTTTAGTTCAGTCTCCACTAGCCACCTAAATCCAAAACAACATAAGATTGTCCCCAAATCACAAATCTTGGCTAAGGATGTATGTAGCTTCAAAGCAAAGCTTGTACTAAGTATTTTTGCCCCCCCCCCAAAAAAAAAATCAACAAGAAAAACAATTTGCTGCTGCCTTTTTTTCCCCCCTTCCCAAGACAGGGTTTCTCTGTGGCTTTGGGGCCTCTCCTGAACTCACTTTGTAGAAGAGGCTGGCCTCGAACACAAGATACCCACCTGCCTCTTTTTCCCTAGTGCTGGGATCAAAGGCGTGCACTGACACCACTGGGAGCAACTATTGCCTCTTACTTTTATTTTTTTTTTCTCAAGTTTACTATACTTAAAGAGTATGTGAGCATATGCACTCCCAGTGCACGTGTCGCCCTCATAGATGTTGAGTCTGAGCTAAATACACAGCTCAGTCGTAGAATCTGCCTAGTATATGTGAAGCTGAGTTCAAGTTGTAACACAAGGGAAATAGTCAAAATGGAGACTCAACCATGTGAAATCAGTAACCTAATGCAGAAACTCTAGCCAAGTGTGGCAGCACACACTTATAATCCCAGTGCTTGCGTAGAAGCAGGAGGATCAAGAGTTAGAGGCTAGCTTGGGCTACATGACACCTGTCTATAAGAAGAGAAGACAAACACTTCAGTGGAGATGCTGTTAGACTAAAAATTCTCATGGTGATTGGAGGTGAGACATACATGCCTTTAACCCCAAATAGCAAAGCAAAGACAAAATACATAAACTGATGTATATATTAAAATTCAGTGATTAAATAGTCCATAGACGTTCAACTGTAAGCTGGTACAGACTGAGGACAACTGAAGCTATGTGCATGCCAGAACACAGCAGTAATAAAGCATCTTAGTTGCCCAGAGTAGCCTTTAATTCATTCTGTGGCCCAAACAGGCCTTGAACTTTTGATCCTCCTGCCTCAGTCTACCCCCCCCCCAAAAAATTTACAGGCCTGCACTACCAGCCCAGCTATATTAAGAACACTCAGGACTGTCAAGACTGCTCAGCAGGCAAAGGCACTTACCTGCCAAACAACCTGAGTTCCATTCCTAAGACTCAAGAATGGAAGGAAGTAACTGACAAACATCAATGCCCCAAGTGCAGAAACAACCTGGACATTCAAATTAATGAATAGATGATCAAAATGCTACATCCCCACATTTAGAAATACAAAGAAAACAGGCTGGGAATACTGCTCAGTGGTAGAGAATACATATATTCAGATTATGGAAAGCCTTGGGTTATCTCCAGCACTGTTCATCAAAGAGCTGAGTGTGGCTATCCTAGTTCTTGGGGAGGTAAAGGCAGGGATCTGAGTTCCAGGACAGCCAGGGCTACATAGAGATCAGTCACCCACTCCCCAATCCCCCAAAAAAATAAAAAAGTAAAGGATCAATGTTACAAAATGGATAACACAGTCCCTGTGTAGAACAGCATTACAATGGGTGTGACTACATATGCTAACACTCTCAGTACCCAGGAGCTAAGGTAGGAAAATCTGGAACTCAAGTTCATTCTGATCCTTAAAGATTCTTAAAAAATAAATAAATAGATAAAACTGGGGACTGGAGACATGGCTCAGCAATAAAGCACTTGCTCTTCCAAAGGCCCAGAGTTTGCTAAGTCTCAGTACCCATGTCACTGCCACCAGAAACTACCTTCAGCTCTAAGGGATCCTACACTCTTCTAGCTTCTTCGGGCACCTACACACATGTAACACTCACTCAGAGGCCACAAATCAAGAGGCCTGTTTAAAGGAAGAGGGGGAGGGCTAGACAGAATGCTCTTCAGTTCAGAGAGCACACACTGCTCCTCCTAAACTCAAGTTCAGTTCCTAGCACCCACAGCAGGTGGCTTACAAACGCCCTAACTACAGCTCCAGGAGGTCCAACACCTCTGACCTGAGGGCACCTGCACTTCACCTAAGTGCAAACACACACAATTAAAAATAAAAATTAAATTAAAAACCTGGACATAATGGAAATCCCAGTACTGAGGAGGCAGAGGCAGGTGAACATGAGTTTGTGGCCAGCCTGATCTACAAAGCAAGTTATAGGACATAAGACATAAAGACAGCCAGAGCTGTTACACACAGAAACCCAGTCTTGAAAAAAAGGACTTTAGCTCTTTAGTAAGTTTCTTGGTTTTGAGACCGAGCTTCACTGTGTATAGCCCAGGCTGACCTTGAACTAAAGAGCCCCTGGCCTTAGCTTCTGGAGTGTTGAGATTACAGAAGAGGCACCACATGCAGCTTCAGCCCCCAGTAAAATTATTAAGTACTGTAACACTCACAGCAGTCTACTTTTTTTTCCCCCCTTTTCCTGGTTTCTCAGTATTGCTTTGGAGCCTGTCTTGGAACAACCTCTGTAGACCAGGCTGGCCTCAAACTCAAGAGATTAGCCTGCCTCTGCCTCCCGCATGCTGAGATAAAAGATGTGCACCACCACAGCCCAGCTCTCTATACAATTTTTATTTTGAGACCATGCTTCACTATGTAGCCATGGCTAACCTAGAACTAGCTTAATATACATAATTATATTAATATTATATGTGTATATGTATACACACCTGAGTGTATATACACACACACTGCTCATCATGGGCTAAGATCCAAGCAGCTCTCCCCTCATTAACTGGCTAAGTTTGAGTATATATATATATATATATATATATATATATATATATATATATAACTTACGCCTCTCTACCCACCTGTCTTCAAGTGCTAAGAGCCACCAAACTGATGTGTCTTTTTTTAGACAAGGTCTTAATATTTAGGCCTGGCTAGCCTGAAAGAGAACTCTGTATTTTAAGGCCAGGTTGGATCCAGCTGGGCATGATAGCACAGGACTTTTATGGAGTTCCAAGACAGCCAGGGCTACAAAGAAAATCCTGTCTCCAAACAAACAGGCTGGCTTCAAACCCAGGTGTGGTGGCACAAGCCTTTGATCCCAGTACTGGGAAGCAGAGGCAGGTAAATCTCTGAATTCCAGGCCAACCTGATTTAAATAGCTCCAGGACAGCCAGAACTACATAATAATGACATGCAATCTGATTTATCTCTGGCAGTACTCTCCAGTCCCAGTTCTCAAAGCACAAAAAACACACTGCACACTGTGTGTATGCAGCCATCAGTAAACCTAACTCAAACACCCTGCAAGGAACACTTGATAGGAACTGCAGTGTCTCCACTACTGTTCATAAAGTTCCTAGCTTTATGGAAACAAAATGGTTGCACTACAGGATCCAAAACCTTTTAGTATTTTCTGACTGCAGTATATACCAAATTAGTATATCTCGAACTAGGTAAGAATGTTTACTCTTAGAATTGCAGAATTGATGGGCTAGAGATGGCTCAGAGGTGAAGAGGACTGGGTTCAATTCCACAGCAGCTCACAACTGTCTGAAACTCCGGGATCCAACATCCTCACACAGACATACATACAGGCAAAGCACCAATAAAATAATACAAAAAAAGAATTGCAGACTTGGTTTTGTTTATTAGTCCCTGGTTGTCCAAAGTCCCATCCTCCTTCTGGTCTGCACCACCATGCATAGCCACAGCCTTGAGCTTTTTTAAAAAAAAAAAAAAAAAAAAAAATCCAGGGACCAACAGATCTCACAGCACACTCTGCCATGTTGCCCCAAGTATACACATGCACAGTAACTTTCTCAGTGTTGGTTGGTTCTTATAAAAATTAATCAGTTCTGAAGACTGAAGATGCTCTATGCCCTACACTACCAAATGTTCAACCAAGATGTAATTCAAGTAAAACTAATACACCCATCCCATCAGTATGTACATTTGTGCTTGCCAGAAGGCCAAGACAGGACAGTGAGTTCAAGGCAGGCCAAAGTTTTGTAGCTCACACCTTTCATCCTCAATTTGTAAACCTGAAGCAGCACTGCCAGAACTCAAGGTATGCCCAGCTACTACTGAACAAACCTGTGTCTCACAAAACAAGTCTGGGCATGTTGGCACAGGCTTGTAATCTATGCACTCAGGATCCAGAGGGGGAATGGGTGGTTGGAGTTTGGGGACAGTGTGAGACACCTGGGAAGTTGGGCCAGACAAGGTTATACATACAACTGTCACCTCCATGACAAGCTTTTCCCAGCTGTCTCTGGTGTACTCCCTACCACCACAAAATGAGGCAGATAACTAAGGGACTGAGGGAAAACAGGAAGAGACTGCGATACTGATAAGTTTTTGGGAAGAGGCTTGAGTAGCCTGGGGCTGCCCCAGCAGCACAGAATGACCTTGAGCTCCTGATCTCTCCACTTCCCAGTGCTATCCTTTATAGTTATGAGTTTACAGGTATGAACTTAACATTTTTCTGCCTTTTTTGTCTGGGCTTGGATTTTTCAGTTGTTTTTACTTGGGAGGGGAGGATTAGAGTCAAACCCTGGGCCTTGTGCATTCTTTATCACAAACCCAGGCAGAATTTGAAATTCACAGAATTACCATGTGAACCAGGCTGGCCCTGAAAGAGAGATCCTCCTGCCTCTGTCTCCCAAATGCTGACATTAAAGCAGTCCTCCACCACACAGGCTACAATTTCTTCCCTGGACTATCTTAGTGGTAGTGTAGAAGTGGCAGCATCACGCTAAACAGAATAAAGGCTACTATGCACTTACAACAAATGGTATCATAACCAATTGTTCCCCCAAAGAGGTTATTTGTGAAAAAGACACTACTAGTACCTCACTCCTATAATCCCCCAAGTAGTCTGGAGGCTAAAAGACTGCAGGAATCCAGAGCTACCCTGGGCTTCAGAGACCTGTCTCAAAAAAAAAAAAAAAAAAAAAAAAAAAAAGGCAGGCTAGGCCACAGAGGCCTTCTCATTTATTCCTGTTCATTGATGAATCCATCTACTGTACTTCTAAACATGCACACACCTAGAATGATCTATGGAGTCTCATTAGCATCTTTATACCCTGTACAGGAAGGCTAGAAACAAACACAAACAAGACTCTCCTTCTCAATGTTTGGAAGTGGATTTCCTCTGTGATGTGGTTCATGTTAAAATTACTCTAAATTAACCTGGAGTACTGTTTGAAAAGGTGGACAGAGACTAACATAGACAAAGTGGAATGCTATCATACATTCAGAGCAAATAACCTGTGGCTAAAGAACTCTTCAAGTTTCTAGGACATGTATTTCTTTTTGTCTTTTTTGAGAGTTTCTGTTTGGCAGTGGCTGTCCTGGAACTAGCTCTGTAGACCATGTTGGCTCATGGAGATCTGCCTGTCTCTGTCTCCCTGAGCTGACACTATACTTCTACTTTAAACCCTTTTAATCCCTCCCTCACTCCTGACATTAGTATTGGGTTTTTCTTTGTTCTGGACCACACCAAATTTTTGTTTTTTTTGAGACAAGGTTCCTCTGTGTAGCTTTGGAGCCTGTCCTGGCACTCCCTCTGTAGATCAACTTGGTCTTGAACTCACAAAGATCTGCCTGCATCTGCCTTCCAAGCCATGGGCCTAAAGACATGCACCACCACCCCGCACCAAAAAAAAAAAAAAAACCCTGAATTTATTGAATCAAGCAGTGGTGGCTCACTCCTTTAATCCCAACAGGTGGATCTGTCAATTCAAGGACAGCCTGGGTCTACAGAGTTCTAGGATGAGCTACAGAGAAACTTTTATTTTCATGTGTATGTATGTGGCATGTAGGTGTAGGCCAGGAGGGTGTGGAATCCCCTGGAGTTAGAATTGGAGGTTTTGAAGTCACCCAACATTGATGCTGAAAACTAAATTCAGGTCCTCTGGAAGATCAGCAAGTACTCAACCACAAAGCCATCTCTATAACAATGTTTCATATATTTTTAAAATGTTTCATGGAGAGTAAAGCCAGAGCTCTGATCACTTCACAGCCACAAATGTATGACATGGCCAAGATCCTGGACCCTGTGTCTCAATGAAGTTCTGTGGGTTTGGTTTTTTTTTTTAAAACACTTTCTTTTCATTTCTAAGGGATTCATTTTTATCATAGGCATTGGTGTTTTGCCTGCATGTATGTCTGTGCAAGGGTGCCGGATCCACTGGAACTGGAGTTACAGACAGGTGTGAGCTGCCATGTAGGTCCTAGGGACTGAACCTGGGTCCTCTGAAGAACAGCTAGTGCTCTTGACCACTGAATAGCAATGATCTTAACAAATGAGCCATCTCTGAGCAAACCCCTTTGAAACTTTTCTTTTTGATGCTGATGACCGAACAAGAAGCCTTCTAACAGGTATGTTTTACTATAGAGCTACACTCCCAACTTCTGACCACTTCTGACTTCTGGGCCAGAAAGTTCCCTCCCCCCCATAAAGTGTCCGCATCTGGGACATGCTGAACAAATGTTGTTCTGTCTGAAAAGTAGTTCTGATGGGTGTTATCTGCTTGCTGTCAGGAACATGGCTTCAATATGCAGTGATTCTACGCTAGTGGGGAGAAATGGCTCAACAGTAAAGAGCACTGACTGGCTGCTCTTGCAGAAGACCCAACGTTTGTCTGCATCTGTAACTCTCCTTTACTCCACTTCCATGAAATCCAATGCCCTCTTCTGGCCTCTAAAGGTACTGCATATTTGTGGTGCACTTACATACATGCAAACTACTCATACACATAAAATATAATAAAGCAAGGAAAGGAAGAAGCATTATATGGCTCAGTAGAGAATGGTCCCATCCCCCAATTCATAAACCAACTATAGTGACACATGTCTGTAATCCAACTGCTTGGAGAACAAACATCAGAAATATCCTCAGCTACAGATTAGTGAATTCAAGGCCAGTATAAACTACTACAGATCTGTTTCACATGGAATGGGTGGGACTGGGTCAGTGTGAATGCCTTTAATCCTAGCAATGTGAACGTAGAGAACCATGAACCAAGAGCTAAGACAGCAGAGCTATAGTCTGTTTCAAAAAGACAACTCTGCCCCCTTCCCAAAAAAAGGGAATGGGGTATAAAGTTTGAAAGCTTGGTTCAACAAACTATACAAGGTTAATCAGTAGGCTTTCTGGTCTACCTAAATCCTCAATTCCTCTGGAAAACTATAGTGTATCTTACTCCGTGTTCAGTCTACATAATCTATAAGCTTAAAAGAAATCGAATTTTGGGGAATTATTTAGGTTCTCTTACCTGTATGAGTTCGAACATGCTGGACATAATTATTTTTTCTGTCTGAAAAATAGTTGCACTTGCTACACGTGTAGACTTTTCTGGGGAAATGGTTTCTCAGGTGTTTCCTCCAGTGATACTCGCTTACTGTTGTGTAAGTGCAGATGATACACTTGTAGACACGCTCATTATCCCCAGCCCTGGTGTGATGCTTCAGGTGAGCCGTGTAGTGATCATACCGGTTGGTATTGTAGCCACATCGGTCACAGCGGATGGGGCCCTTGGAGAAGTCCCCCTCCTCTGCCGTGGAGGAGCCAGATTCCCTGGCTTTGGCCTGTTTCTCTGCACTCTCTTCCACAAAAAACTTTTTCGCACTGTGGACCCTGATGTGATGTACAAACTGCTCTTCAGATTCAGCTTCATACTGACACGGCTTACAGCGAAAGGGCTTGGCCTTCAAATTCTTACATTTGTCCTCTGTCCCAAGCGTTTCAGGAGGAAGATCCTTATTTGAGTTGTATATTTCTGGGGCAGCTGATGCTTCGAATACTGGCTGTGGTTCAGCAGCATTTAGCTCCAGACCTCTCAGTTCCATGTTTACCAGCCCACTGGGGTCACCTTTTAGCTCAGCAGGCTCGTCAAGTCCTTCCCCTTCACTGTCTGAAAAGTTGTTGTCCCCAACTGGCATCAATTCCGCCATCTGTCTTTCTTCACCCACCAGGTAATCACAGCAGCTGCCGCTGACCTCCCCAGTCAAGGCTACATTTGCTAACATGATGAGCTGAGGTGCAGCCAGTTCTGCTTTGGAGAGTTCATGCAAGTCATACATGTCGTTGGGTAGGGCCATGCCCATGCTGCCACTGTGGCTGAACAGGCCCCCTCCTCCAGAAGACTGCCCCAAAACCTGCGTGGCCATAACTGCACACTGAAAAATCATAACAAAAAAAAATTAAATCCAGCCCTAAAGTAAGCATTTTTCCAACCTTCAAAACTCAATGAGCTTCATTAGCTTCTAACAAACTTAAAATGGTTTTCTTGCTGGGTATGGTGGTGCCTGCCTGTAATCCTAGCTAGGGAGGCTGGGGCAACACTACTGTTAATTTTCAATTATCTTTATTGCAGTCCCAAAAGCATACAAATGAATAACTATTACCCCTACACCCAAGGGGAAAAAATGCAGCCCTTTCATCCATTAGGTCTACGACTAACTGGCATGAAAGTATGTCAACCTTTTTCTGACGGTTAACATTTTTAATGTTAACTCAAATTACTTTTAATTCAAAGCACTTAATAGTAAGCTATTGTTCTCCCACTTCTCCATTTTCAACAGTTTAGTGGTCTGAATGAGAACCCCAAAAATCCTCAAGCCTATGCATATAAGGAGCACACCAAAAAATCTGGAAGACTGTAATTTAATTTCTTCCTGAGAATTCAACTCTTAAAAGAATAAACTGAAAAAGTAACAGACTTAACTTTTTTGATGACTCTTAACATAAAGGGGTGGTTATGGATCCCTTTTCCCACAAAAGAGGAAGTTTTAAAGTGGTTTTTTTTTTTCGTTGTTGTTTGAAAACTCCCTAACAGCCGTGCAACTCAACACGTCAACCAGCAACTTTGGCGCATTGTGCTTGACTTGGCCTACTTGCCTAGAGGAAGCCATTACAGATCACCTTCTTGAAAACAAGTTGAGTTTTTAAATGGTCTCAACCTCTAGCCTCAAAGGTGCTAGTCTCAAACTCGGTGCCCCTCTTCCAAATCAGTAAAGCCAGATATGCAGTAAGTAAGACAAAACTTAAAGCCGAAAATACAAAAATCAGTCCGTTTCACCAAGCGTCTAAACACAAGCTAGCTCAGTTACATGCCCCAACAAAAAGTTGGACTCGAATGCCATCACAGGAAACAGCGGGCCACAGCCCGCTCCCTGGTTTAACAGCCCCCCCGGATTCCACAACTGACCCCCCACATCCACTTTTAAAGCTCCCCGAGAACACTCCAAGGAATCTCCACGTTTCTCGGGAAGGCTGTGCAAACACAGCCCGAGAGCAGCAACGTGTTGCACGGAATTCCTATGTGCTGCTGCTACCAGCGCCGGCCTCGGCGGCGGCATTCCTAACTGAAATAGGCATTCGGCCATTTTCTCAAAATACCAAACACAAAGCAGCTCTTTGCAAACTTGGGCCCTCTTGCTTCCTCTCCGCCACCGAGCCGCGGGCGGTGCCTCGGCTCTCGCCCTCGAGCGCTGCCCACCATCCTAGAGGCGCCTCTCGGCCGGCCGCGGCCGCTGCCCCGCGGCCCCCTCCCCCGCCGCCCGCGCTAGCCCAGGACCCGGCGGAAAGTTACCTCGCCGCCGGCGTCCGGATCGGGCCTGCGCCGGGGCTCGGCGGCGCCCTCCCGAGGCTACCGGTCCCGGGTCTCTCCCAGGGGCCCCACGCGGGCCGCCACCGCCCCCGCGCCCGGAAGTTTGCGAACTTCGCTCCCCCACCGCGCAAGGCCAGCGCGGGCCGCAGAAATCGCTGTCCAGCCCGCCGGCGGCGCCGCCCGTGCCCCGGGCTGAGTCAAGCGGGGCGGCCGCCTTCCGGCCCCAGCCAGCTGGGGGAGGGGGCGGCGGGCCTGGGACGGCAGCGAGGCCGGGAGCGGTGGGCCCCGGGCGAGGGGAAGGGCGCAGGGGAAGTTTCAGGACCGCGGCCACCAGCAGCGGCGCTCCGGCCTCCGCTTCCCAGACTCCCAGCACGATGCGGAAGGGCCGCCCCGAGCTCTACTGCGGACCGGTGCCCCCGCCGCTCCGCACCAGCCCCCGGCCCAGCCCGTGACTCGCTCCGTAACCCGATCCCGCCCGCCGCTCGCCCGATCTACAGTATCTGCAGATCAGCCCTGGACAGCGCCTCGCGCCGCTCCGCGCCTGCCCGCCGCCCTCCCCCGCCGCCCTCCCAAGTCCGCGTCGTCCTACCCGCTGGCCTGCGCGCCCACGGACCGCCGCCCCCGCGTCCCCGCCGCCGCCGCTCCAACTCCTTTTCTTTGTTGCTGGACTTTCGGGGGAGGGGAGGGAGAGTGGAGAAAAGTTGGGCGCCGAGGCCCGCGAGACCCCGAGTGCGATCGCGGAGCTGAATCAGACCGCCGGCCCTCGCCCTGCCGTCGCAGCGGTCCCCGCCGCCCGGGTCTGGGGCCCGCGGCCTCGGCGGCGCTCGGTCTGCTGCTGCGCCGCGAGCTCGCGGGAGCCGCACATTCCAGCACAGGACGCTGCGCCGCGCACCCGGTCCGCGCCGCCGCCCGCCCGCCCGCACGCCGGACACGCCCCCTCGCCGTCCGCGCGCGCCCGCGGACACGCCCCCTCCCCGCCCGGGCGCGTGGCCGCTAGGCGCGCCCCGCCCCTCGGCCCAGGGGCTTGGTGCGAGCGGATTCCGGGCCTGGCTGGGGGCGCGCCTCGAGGGAACCTCGCCTCATCTTCCCGGGGGTCCCCTCCCGCCCTAGACTCATTAAAGGGGCGGAACCTGCTCCCTTTGCTTCATTCTTTTATAAACAAATAGCAAAAGTTACTCCCAGCCTTAGCCGAGTGTGCACGAGAATGGGGGTTGTTCAAGAGAAATGTGGAGGCATTGACCGTCCTCTTGAGAAGTATTGTCACTGGCCTCTCAAGTCTAAAGCCCTGGGAAAAAACCCGGCGTGTGGGCTCTTGCCGGTAATCCCAGCACTCAGAATGCTGTTGAGACTGGAGGATCAAGAGTTCAAGGCCTGGGTTCAAGATCAGCCTGGGCTACTTAAGAACACCAATCCAAATAAACTTAAGAAAAAAAAAAAAATGGGAAGATTGGGTCTGGCTGCACACGCCTGTAATCTTACTGTCACTTAGTAAAATGGGGGGATTGCTCATGTATGTAATCAGTCTCAGAACTCTGTAGTCTGAGGCAGAATTGTTGAGAGTTTGAAACCATACTATGCTACATAGCAAATACTAGGCCATCAAGAGCTACATACTGAGACCTGTCTCAACCAAAGAAACAAACCTTTTACTTCTCCGCCCATAAATCTTTATCCTTAGTTAATTGTCATTTTAAGCTTCATGAAGTAAAATACTTTTAAACCCTAACTAGGGGAAATTCAGTCTTTGTGGGAGTTACAACAAAGCAAAATCGGGCTTAATGCCCAACATCTTATAATGGGCACAAGCAGTCTCATGTCCTGTCCCTTTTCATCTGAAGCACCTCCTTAACATAATTTTAATGTCTTCTTAAAATGTGGGCCTTGTACCCTGTCCTTTAATTTGTAGGCAATGAACTACCAACTAAAGTTTAAAGCTCTAAAGTGGCATTATTTAAGGCCAGCATTACCTAAATGTGTGAACCTATAGTTAGTATTACAACAGACTCAGGTGGCTGCTACAGGGCTGTTGATGGACCTTAAATGGATCTAGAAGCTTCTTACAGGAACAAGCAAGCAAAAGAACTTCATGTTTCTCTTTAACAGAGTTTCGTTACTTCACTTTTCTAGCACACTTCTGTAGAAACCGTTTCTCCAAAGAACCAGACAATACATTACTAATTAGCACAACATTGGATGCAAAGTAGAATGAAGGCCTTAATATACCTGACCATCAAAGGTTTCAGTGACTTTTTGCTGTTGTTGTTGTTGTTGCTGTTATTTTCTGAGACAGTCTCCCTTTCTACTGCTGCAGTGTTGTTGGTCTTACAGGTGTAGGCCACTGTGCTACAAACTCTTTTCAATGCAAACACTATACATTTGAAAAATACGCAACTGAATAAAACTGAGTAAGAATAAATAAATGAGCCAAGCGGTAATGGCACATGCCTTTATTCCCGGCACTTGGGAGGCAGAGGCAGGCAGATCTCTATGAGTTTGAGGCCAGCCTGGTCTACAGAGCTAGTTCTAGGACAGGCTCCAAAGCTAGACAGAGAAACCCTGTCTTGAAACACCAAAAAAAATAAAAATAAACAGAGAGAGAGAGAAAAAAAAATGAAAAGCCAACAACAAAAATAATATAATAACTCCTTTTCTCTTTTCTTTGAACTGTCGAAGAGAAACCTGGTTGATGGCTTGGGCCATTATTGAATCCAAATCCTTGGGAGCTCAGGGTCATTATCAGCCACATAGCTAGGTTGAGGCCAGTTTAGGGTAAATGAGTCCCTATCTCAAAAAAGGAAAAGTCAGGCATAGTGGCTCAAACCCAATGTGTAACCTAAAATGACCTTGACCATTTGATCTTTCTGCCTACACCTCCCAATATGGAATTAAAGGCATGCTTTAGGCAGATTTATGCAGTGCTGGGTATCAAACTCAGAAAGTCCTGCACACTAAACACTCTCCCAACTGACCACCTCCAATCTAGCTATTCTTTTTCTTTAGACTGTAATCTAACTTGAGGCTAAATGATTCTGTTTCTTAGACTAATTAACTTTTGTAGTGCGGTGTTCTGACTGCATGTATGTATGTCTGTGTGAGGGTGCCAGATCCCCCAGGAGTTACAAATGTGAGTCATCATGTGGGTGCTGCTGGGAATTAACCCTGATACCTCTGCAAGAGCAGTTAGTGCTCTTAACCTGTGAGCCATCTCTCCAGCCCCCCCCCCAAGTGGTTTTCATTCTTCCTTTCTTTCTCTCTTTCTTTTTCTTTCTTTCTTTCTTTTTTTTTTTTTTTTTTTTTTTTTAATTTTGTTTTTTGTTTTTCAAAACAGGGTTTCTGTGTGTAGACCAGGCTGGCCTTAAACTCCAAGAGATCCTTCTGCCTCTGCCTCCCAGTGCTGGGATTAAAGGTATTCACCACCACTACAACCTGGCTTTAAACGAGATTTTCTTGTTTATGCATTTATTGGATTTTATTTGTTGTAGTGTGTGTGTGTGTGTGTGTGTGTGTGAGTGTGTGTGTGTGTGTGTGTGTGTGTTGTTTAACAGCCTCAAGTAGCCCATGTTGTCCTTGCAATTCCTAAGTATCTGATGATAAATAAGCTTCTGATTTACCTGCCTGGGAGGCATATACCAAGTCAGGCAAACATGGCTTTTTTTTTTTTTTTGTGGATGCTTAGCTTCTAAATTTGTTAGCTATGAAGCCAGGTGTGGTAGCACTTTCCTGTAATCCTAGCCCTCAGGAAGCAGAGACAGAAGGATCACAGGCCTCAGCTTGCCTAGTCTACCAGGGCCTACCAGGGATACGTAATAAGACCCAGTCTGGGAAATAGCAAAAGAACAAGACATGAACTATTTCTTTTATGTCCAAAGGGACACAAACGAAACACTGCTTTTTTACAGCTTCTGCATGAATGTCCTTCATTTCCTCATTGTGACTGCTAACTGGAAATGGTTTATTAATTGTGGATTTAGTCCCTTGTATTGTGATGCAAATAGAGCAATGGGTGCATGGCAGCTGCATTCATTTAACATTTGCAGAGGCTCTTGTTCAAGGGATGGGATATTCAAAGTGACCCAAATTATCATGACATGCAGGCCACAGGTCAAATTCAAAGCCAAATCACAAATCAATAGACTTCCTGGGAGTGGGGGGGTAGGCGGTGGGGGGACCTCAATAATAAACTTGAATTCTTATTTGTTTTGACAGACTAAAATCTATTTTGCTGTCTCCAAAAATTAAGATCTACAAAATAAAGACTTTGTTCTGTGAGTGACTTGTTTTCTAAGTGGCCTTTTCCAAAGTGTTTAATCCATCAGGTGTTTTTGTTTGTTGTTGTTTCAATTAACTTATGCTCTCAATCATATTCTTCTCCTGAGATATGTTTCAAAGTTTGGTAAAATATTGTTTTTAAACTTCCATATGCTTTTCATTTCCAACCTTCCATCTCTTCCTTAGAAAAGAGCTTAGTATAACTTAACCCCCTCATCAGTATTATATTGAAGTTTAATAATCTGCTTGAAAACTTGTCGGCTTCCAGGCTTATGCTGATGAGAAATGAGAGTACTATATTCCATCCTGAGGTTGATGGTTCTGTCTGACCTTTACAGTCACTAAGAAAGGAAAAGACATGACCTGTGAAGGACTAAAGTGAACTACCCTACTTGCCAAGGAATTCCCAGTGTAAAGAAAGATTCAGGGGAAGAGACAAGAAATAAAAACCTTGAATACTCCTGTTAAATTTTGTTTTCATTTACAGTCTTTTTTTTTTTTTTTTTTTTTTTTTTTTTTAAGACAGTGTCACACTTTGTTGCCCCTGGCCGACCTGGAACTTCTAGATCAGTGGTTCTCAAATGCTGCCACCCATTAATACAGTTCCTCAAGTTGTGGTGACCCCAACTATAAAATTATTTCATTGCTACTTCAGAACTGTAATTTTGCTACTGTTATGAATCGTTTGTTTGCTGCATGGTTGGTAGGTTTTTCAAGGTAGGGTTTCTCTGTGTATTCCTGACTGTCCTGGAACTTGTTCTGTGGACCAGGCTGGCCTGGAACTGAGATCTCCCTATCTCTGCCTCCACAGGGCTGGGACTAAAGGCATTTGCCGCCATCGCACCTCCTGGCTTTAATCATAATGTAAATATCTGATATGTAACCAAAAAAGAGAACCACTGTACTATGTAGCTATACTGACATGGAATCAGCCTGCCTCTGCCTTAGGTACTACTGGAATCTAGATTGAGTGTCACCACAGCCACCATATTTCTTTATTATGCTTGTGGGTTGGATGAACCTGCAAAACCACCCTCTCCCTTCCACCATGTGGATCCCAGGGATTAAACTCAGCTCCTCAGGTTGGGGATAAGCTCCTTTACTGGAGGAGCCAATCTACCAGCCCCCCCATATTATTATCATATTAACTCTATATTCTGTCCCAGAGTTTTGATCTCCCAAACAGTTTCTGGGTGTTTTTTCCACTCTGTGGATTGAACCCAGGACTTCAAACACAACAGGCAAGTACTCTTCCCACTGAGCCACATTCCCAAGAACCCTTTTTTTCTCATTTAATGAAAAATTGAAGGGGATGGGGCGGGGGGGCTGTGTGTGGTGTGCCTTTAATCCCAGCACTATGAGGCAGAGGCAGGCAGATTTTAGAAAGTTCAAGGCCAACCTAGTCTACATATTGAGCCCCAGGCTAGCCTGAGCTAAACAGCTGTGCAGCAAGCC